CAAACCACGTGACGCCCAGCCCCAATTGCACTCAAGTGTCGTTTCTTCCGAATGAATGTAGAACATCATGTCCTTCAAGCAATGTAATACAAAATCAATATCCGATTTATGAAGGAATTTAGGGGGGGTTTCGATTCAAAGCTCAAATCAAATTTCCAGGCTTCAAGCAACGTTGTTTTGGGATGGGAAGGCAACCCCAGATTTGACATGCCATGGCACAATGAGTGACCGTATTTGATGACAGAAAAATTATTGTCCGCGCCATTTTCCGCACTGCAGGCAGCCTCAGTTCTTCTGATGTTGCTACTCCCTCAGCCGAGAGATCCTGCAGCAAGGCCATCAATTCAGCCTGTGCCATACGAGAAGTGCTTCCCTGTTCGATAGCTGAGACAGCTAAACTGATGGCCAAGACCTTCTTCTGCTCCATTTCCCTTCGAAGCAACCATAAGCTGGCTTCCCAGCGAATCGCACGTCCGCATGCTGAGATAATTGTTGTGTACGTCACATGGTTCGGGAACACCTGTTCATGCTTCATCTCTTCCAAAAGCAGCAGAGCTCGTTGCCACTGGCAGTCAAGGGCAGAAAGGGCGGCAGTGAAGGTCACAGCATTCCTTTGCAGATTTTGGCCTTTCATCTCAATCAAGAGCGCGAGAGCTCGGTCCCATTGCTTGCTCTTCTCGCACGCCCCCATTGCGGCACTCAGAGTGATACTGTCTTCTGGTATCCGCCCATGTCTCATGTGTGCAAGCAGTGCCAGGGCCCTCTGCCACTGTGCACTTGCGTCGCAAGCTGTGCTGTGATGGCAGCATTGCAGAGAATGGTGCTGGTGATGCAATTCTCCTCTGCCTGTTGCACCAATTGCAAAACCTCTTGCCACTTCCCTGCCCTGCCACATGCGCGTAGGGCCGCGCCACAGGCAACTGCATCCTGGGACAGTTGCCATGAGTCCAGCACTTGGAGGGCGACTTGCCACACCGCCGCCGAAGCGAAAACTGCCAAGGCGCAACTGCTACAAACCAACGAGTCTCGTGAGCCCGCGGCTTGCGAGGCTTGCAGAAAGCTCAGGGCCAGCTCCCAATGTCCGGAGGCCTCGCAGGAGTTAATTGCGTTGGTGTACGCCATGCCATCCGCCATAGACTTCTCTCTTAGCTCCTCCAGCAATACTTGCACTTGTGACCAGTTCCCTCCCTGAGCCCAAGCACTCATTGCAGAGCTCATGAGTGCTGCATCTGTTCCTGTTGTTTGGGCATGGTTCCAAAGGACCAAGGCCAGCTGCCATCGATCAGCTTCCAATAGTGCCTCCATGGCACTGCTGTATATGACGCGATTTGGTGAATCCAAGACCCAGGCGAGGTCTAGAGCTCTTTCCCAAGCAGAGGCTTTTCGGCATGCCGCCATCACTGCACCATACGAAACAACGCTGGGAGAGACTTTCAGCTCAACCATCTCTGCAAAAAGGACGAAGGCAGTTTGCCAGCTGTCGCCCTTTTCGCAGGCACTCATGGCAGCGTTGTAGGTGATGACGTTCGGCTGAACTTCCTGCTTCCGCATCTCCATCAACAAGCCAATGGCTTTTTCCCACTGCTGCCCTCGCTCACAGGCTGTGATGGCCGAACTGCAGGCGACGACATCCAGTCCGACTTTCAACAAGTCCAGCGTCGCTTGCCATGCTGCACACGATGCACAAGCAGAGACAACGGCCCCGCGTAGAACGGCATCGGCCAGGCGACGAGAACGGAGAGTATCGAAAACGAAGATGGCAGCTTCCCACTTCTTTGCCTTACCGCAGGCCTTCGCTAACTTTGTTGCGCTTACAACATCCAATGGCCTGCCAGACTTCAAATCTTCCAGTGCTGAAAAAGAGTTCCTCCGACTTTGCTTATTCCAGTGGGTTTGCGATTTGGGGCCTGCTGGTAGGTCAAGTGGTTTCCCCGCGCAAACCATTGCATAGTCTCAAACCAAGCAGTGAGGGATCAAACGAAGTGATAAGGACAGGACAAAAACCGACAGCATGGGGTTTCGACGCTGGCGCTCGCACGGCAGGCCATGGGGGGGGGGGGGGGGGGGGGGTTTTACGGTTTCAAGGTTAAATGGTTAAGGGTTCGAGGCTTGGTTTAGGGTTTAGGGCTTAGTGTCGCTATGGCTTTTGATCCTTACCAACTTTTTGTCACCTCAAACCTGTCAAGCAGGGATGCCGGAGGAGTGGCTTTGCATGTGGCTATGCACACGGAGCCAATACGCTGCATGTGTGCTATGAGCAGCTTCCAGAAGATCTTAGCTCCACTCCCCTCTCTCGCGGAAAGCGGCCTTGCTGTCAAGACGTGCATGACTGTGTTGAGGCATTGCTGCCTGAATGTGTCCTTCTTAGGTGCACACATATCACACGCCACCTCAGAAACCGGGCACAGAACCCAGATCTAGTGTGTTCCTAAAGCTGCATAAAGGGAAGCTGAGCTTTACGGCTGAAGGGCTTAGGGCTTCAGAGGTTGAGGGTTTTCAGGGCTCACGGCTCAGCGCGTCAAGATTGAAGGGTTGCAGCCATTGCTTGACAGAAGATCTTATGTCCTGACTCCTAAAACCCGTCACATCTGTTCGGGGTTCTTAGGGGTTTACGGGTGCTTAGGAGTGCTTTGGGCAGGGGCTTAGTGTTTTTCGAGGGCTGAAGGCTTTAGGCAGTTGAAGGCTTGGGGTTTAGCAGGCTCTGGGGTTCCTCGAGGTTTGAGGAGGGTGATGGAAAAATGAAGCCTTGAAGCTCAAACACATCCTCATCCCTGCAAGCCTATAGGGGGCCCGAAAGCGCTTGAACCCCCGAACTCGAGACTTCCCGGGCCGCAGCCTTCGGTCGTGTCGCGGGCTTCCCTATTTCACTGGCGACGGCAGAAAACAGCACACGATGGTGCGCTTGATGATAGCACGGAATACTGCCAAGGCGTGCCTTAGTGGCCTGTATTGGCTACCAGCCACTGCTTGCTGAAGACAAGATGCGTTACTCTTACGGCCTCAGGATTTGGTTTTTTAAGGAGCCCCACATCAACCCTTCAGCCCTACAGCCCATACCTTAATCCCCCGGACCCCACAGACCAGCCTAAGCCGTACTCCCGGAATCCTGAACCTTAATCCCAAACCCTAAATCCATGCTGCACATTTTCTGGTTCTTCGTCCCGAAGCCCCCAAACAGGGCCCCACTCACCCTGACCAAAGTATGCTGCATTCCCGCGCAAAGGGATACTTGCAGAAGGACCCTCATTCTCAAAAAGGAGTTCAGAAAAGGAACGAGCTGAGGAGTGCAGCCCCTCCGGCACCAGGGTACTTATGTGGTGCTGCACCCACTCCAATCACTCGACAACTCTGCCTTTCAAGTCTCAAGGCATTGGCTTGACTTTATGGACGATGGTGATTCATAGTGACCTGCTGCGTGTAGTAACAATAGCGTTCGATGGATTTGGGAGTTTACGAAAATCAGGGACCCCCCACCCCCCCCCCCCCTAAAAATAGAGACCAAATAGTAGGATCCCCTTATATTAAGGACCCCGATAAGGTACTGAGGCCGCGGCGAAGGCAGGGCGGAGAGGACCGGCCCTAAGCCAGAGCCAAGATTTTGCAGCCAGGCATGGAAGGCTTGGCAAAGCAGGGGAAGTCGACGGCGACCCCAGCACAAGCAGGATGCGCTGGTTTAGGGCTTAACGTTGACCTTGTGCTTGATGTAACCCTCCCTAAACCCTCTCTAAGCCATCTCGAAGCCCTCTGTATGAACCCTCGAACTTCCAAGGTTCTAGTGCGACCCATGGGCTCCGAAGCTTCCCAGCTCTCAGCTGTAGGGGTCTCACAGGGGCTGCTTAGAGTTGTTCTGGGGCGGTGGTTCAGGGCTTCTGGAGTTTAAGGGTTTTTGGTGCTCCAACTTTTTCAGCGTCTTCTAGCTTGTGGGGCCTTAGGATACCCTAACCCCTAAACCCTAAACCCTAAACCCCAAACCCTAAACCCTAAACCCTAAACTCGGAGCCTTCTGTCACACCTTAACCCTAGATCCTGAACTCCAACTCAGGAGCCTTTCTGTCACACCTTCGCCGTTTTCGCCCTTTTTGTAGAGCTAAGTGAAACCCATGAACTTTTGTAAACGACGGCGTTGGACACCCTGACACTCTGGACACAGATCGCATAATGCCGTATAGCATAGTGACTAATATCCTGTAGATATCATACAGTCTTAAAAGTCGATATTATTGTTCAAGATCTCCAACACCTTGCGGCTTCCAGTTGCAGTCCCCAGCGACTTTGTGAGGATGGGCATGAGGGGCACCGATCGACTGCGTGACCACGCTTGTGAGACGACTACAAACAGAACGTGAGTACTAAACATGGGAAGATCTGCGTCCTCACCTTTACGGGTCGCAGTGGTGGCGTTCCTTCTCTCGGCCACTACGGTTCATGCACAGTGCCCACCGGCAAATGAAACAATTGACCCATGGCCAGCTTGGCCAGCACTGTCTGTGGTAATGGATGCCACATGTGTCGTAAACTCCCTGGTTCAAAGCCTAAGCCCACGAAGCATCCTTGGACTGGAGAAACATGGCGTGCCTGGGAGCGCACCTCCCAAAGAAGCCCTTTTCTCTGTGGCATCCAGCGCTTCACTTTGGAGCGAAACGGCGCGACCACCCCTCTCATGCTTCGTCCGGAGCGTCAGGAGTAGACAGGGAGGGCCAAACGATGGATCACATGACCTAGCACATGATTTCCACTGAGGACTTCAGAGATGTGGTCACCTGCGTGGATGCAGCGGGAACCTAGAAAGACATCATCTGAGGCAGGGTGGGCTGACTCGTCCCTCGAGCTCCGGCGACATCTCATGTGCTCTTCACTTTGTAGTCCTTCACCTTGTCCTTGTAAACCTCAGATTTGAGACGAGCCTCAGAGTTTATAGGGGATGGGCCTACGGGGGGCTTTCATCGCAAGTCCCCCACGGCTGTTTTCCAAGGGGCTGCGACTTCCATGTTCCCCTTGAGCGGAACAGAGGACACGAAGCCTGGGATGACAGATGTGGAGTCTGTGTATGGCGCCAGAGTATGGCCAAAGAGGGGGATTGAGGGCACATGGCTGGGCAAGAGTGCTTTCTTGTTCGTGTGGACGTCCCCTTGGTTTTACGTCTATAGTACTTGTCCGGTAAGTTCCGCTTCCATGGGTCACATCTCGAGTTTCCGGGGCTTCTCGTTTTGTGGGGCTTCAGGACTCGGGGTTTTCGGCCGGGCTTCCGGATTTTCAGGGCCCTGAAGTAGCAGAAGGAAGGGCTGCATATGCAGTTCTACTGACAACCCCTGCTGGCACTTCAGAAACTCCAGCGTTCGGCAGCGGCCCAGCGCCCTAAGGCAGCAGAGACCAAGGTCACCTGCCCGCAGCTTGTGCTCGAAGGTCTCGGGGGGTTTGGGCAGCTAGAAATCGGTGGGGGTGAAGTGCTCAGCGATGTACCCTAAACCCTAAACCCTAAGGTTTGCAAAAGCCCGGGGAGGGACGAGTCCCGGTCTGTAGCATGCACTTTGCTACGAACCCGCCGGCCATGGTTTTGGGGGGTTTGATTGTTTTGAGTCGGATGCCTCAGAGAGAGAGAGAGAGAGAGGGAGAGTTCTTAAGAGTTTGAGTGCCCTGAGGGCTTCGCGTGCGCAAGCCTTACAAGGGACTCTGTGCGCAGTAGGGCAAGGAGCCCCTGACCTGGTTGCAAATGACAACTGGCCCCTTTTGAACTCCCCAGTATGATCGAAGGCTTTCGGCTTGGGAGCGTCTCTTCTTCTGGATTTCCGGGGGCCAGGCAAACAGCATCTTGCAATCCAACATGCTGATAGTCACAATCCCAACAGCAATCCCAGCCACATCGCGATCATGCGAACCTTGCGGCTTGACAAATTACGAGCAGCGCAATCCAAATCTCGGAGTGCTCCAGAACCTTCCGCATTGTTCCCCTGAAAAGTCTCCCCGTAGTTTCTCAGGGTTTACCTTGCTCCCAATTTGGCCCAGGCTGCCAGCAGTGTGGCTTCCGTGGCGTTGCGGTGGTGGCGCAGGAAGAAAATGGCAGAGGCAATGAGGCCGCAAACGGAGACCCTGACATTCAGGGTCAGGTTGCTGACGAAACACGGCTTCAACGCACCATCGACTCACGCTGAGGATGTACAACTGAGACATGGAGCACGACGCGGGGATTGTAGGGGGATGACTGTACACGCAGACCTTGCCTTGGTCTGGAGCACACGAACAATGCATGAACAGGACATTGGGAGTTGGGAACTCAACCTTCATATCCGCAACCTGGTACTGGGTGGCCTTTGTTTAAGGCTTAGGGTTTAGGGTTGCTGCCCTGAAGAGCCGAAGACCCTAAGCCCGCCTGCCCGCCCAGCTCTGCACTTTGCCTCGGGCTCAGCCGAGCTTTAGGATTCTGCCAATGTTGGCGTGCGTAGCTTCTTACTATAAGCCATTTAGAAACCTTAAAAACCTGGGCGCCTTGAGATGTGCACGGGCGATTCCCCTTTTTTCGGGTGGGCATGAAGTGGTTCCGTCCCAGGTGGAAGGCTGCCAGGTTGCCAAAGGAGCGCATGACACGCCGGCAGCGTGGGCCTCGCGTTCGAAGAGTGAGGGGCTCTCCAGCCAGCACCCTCCATGCTTGGGGCTCAAGGTTGCTGGCTCAGGGTCCCTGCAAAAACAGTGTAAGCGCCGCACAATGCTTCGCGTGTCGCTGCCACCGATCGAAGATCATGGCATCGGATGCTGGCAGCGTCCTCGCCCAAGCTTCATGTGTTGCTTTAGGGCCGGCGAGATAAGGGCTTCAGGTGTTGCGAGCCTTACATGGAACTTTACAAGGTGCAGCCGGAACTCGCAGAGGATCCTGGGTTTTCTAAAACCCCCCCAAAAGCCCTCAAACCCCCGCTGACTCTGAGAGGTGGGTCGCTCAAGGGCTCTTGCATCCTGAGCCTTGAGACCACATTGCAAAAGAAGTCCTGGAGGCTCTGGAGAAGTAGTGCCCGCCGTTGGCGAACTCGTAGAACCACTTCCTGGATGTGGTTGCTAACCCTAAACCCTAAACCCTAAACCCTTTTTGCCCTACACCCTAAACCCTAGACCCTGGGGATGCCAAGTGATCTGGAACCCTTAAGCTTCCAAAACCCCAAGCTCCCCCCAAACAATCCATCGCATGCGTTGCAAAAGTGCCTTCTCGAGCCATGGATCCTACAGAGGTGCCGCAAATTCATGACTTGTAGCCTGGGGCATTGACTCTATACTAGGACGGCCTTAAAACCCTTCGAATAATATTCCTAAGCATGGTCATCTTAAACCCAATGAGGGAAAACATGACATGTTCCAAGGGCCTACCTAGTATAGGTGCAAGGCGAAGGTTGCCATGTCCACCCCTGAGTTTGGTAGCTCGGTGGTCCTTTTTATAGCCTTAGTGGGAGGCATCGCGGGTCATGGGTGCCTAGGGCCCTAAGCCCTAAACCCTAAACCCATGGTGTGTAGGGAGTCTGATGCGGCCAAGGCTCCGAAACACCTCAACGCCCTTGTCGGATGGAGTGCCTTGGGCTGCGCACCGACTCCTACGAATTGCTTAAGAACCCCCAAAAGATCAAAATATCCTTCGTTATAAGGGCAATATAAGGATTACTATTTTCTATTTTTGGGTTCTGAAGCAAACAGTAGACTTGCCCAGCAGCAAAAGGGGAAGGTTATCTGCAAGAACACCCTTGCACGTGAGCTGGCGGGGATGAGTGGTGTCTCCTTGCATCCACGTGTCCGAGCACGTATTGGTCCCCCCATGCATAGTTGGAGTTCTCGTGCTGCGCTCGCTCCTCGAACGAACGAGTCGAGGGGGGGGGGGTGCCGGAATGCTGCAATGTAGTACTCATATATTGGTATGGGCCCCCCCCCTCCCCCCCGCCCCCCTCACTTGAAAAAAAGAATGCCCAGCAGTTCAGGGACCCTCATCTGCGAGTCTGCGACAAACCACAAACAACCCCCCCCCCCCCCAGCTGCATCTCGTCGCCTGCCCAACCATAGCAACCAGGTCTTGCTCTTGGAAACGGTAGCCTTGTGTTGGTTGTGACAGGGCAACGGTTCCAAGGACACCTCCCGCTTTGTGACACAAGTCCCCTCTTCCCAATACGAGAACGACATGTATTCTCAGGGGGTTAGGAAGATGATGCTTCACAATTTCTGGCACCTTCCTGTCCGCACGGCAGTTTTCAGACAAGCGCGGAGCTGCAACTCAAATTGCAGACGGGAGGCCGAAGATCTTGTTGAAGAAGAGCCTCGGGATACGCGGCCGCTGTAGATTCGAAGACTCTGTCGATTCTGCTGAACTTTTGCAGCTTTCAAGCCCCTAAACCCTAAACCCCTAAACCCGAAACCCTATAAACCCTACCTGTGACCCGGAGCAGCTGTGGTTAAAGGCCACTCACTGCATCGCTGCTCGGGCACGGGAAAGAAACGGCCACGGAGTAGAATCCAATCTACAATGGTTTGTAAAATATATGGTATATTTGTAATATGATAGCTACCATATTGTGTTTTTGTTTGTTTGAATCTGCTTCTTTTTTTAACTGACAAGACAAGACGACCACCGCACATTGGAAGCTGCCCTAGTCTCCGTTAAGGGATTTAATCTAGGGATCGGGTTTCGGGTTTAGGGTTTTGGGGCCTTAGGGCTTTAGGGTTTTGGGGTTTTAGCGTTTTAGGGTTTAGGGAAGTAATTAAACAGTCAAGACTGAAGAAGTCGTCCAGAAAGGCATGTCGAAAATGGGCACACAGCGTATCTAGGGTTTAGGGTTTGGGGATTTAAGCACTCAGGGCATGGGAATGAGGGAGATGTGGTGAGCAGTGTCAACGCACTAAAGGGTCAAGGAATCGGGTTTCGGGTTTTGGGTTTGCACTCTCTGGCCAACATGATGCACTCCTGGCTGACATTCCATGTTTCTGGGCCTGCGTCTGGGCCCTTTGAAGTTTCAGCGGATGGTGGTGAAAGGCGCAATTTGCACTCCTAACTACACCTGGTCCTCTACCCCAACCTCCTGGAAGAAGCTCCGAAAAGGCATCCTAAAATACCCGAAACCCCAAGCTCGAGACACATCCCGGAGCGCCGGGAGGCACGTGCATGACGTCTTCCACGCTCGTCGGAAGCTTCCTTCAAGGTGGGTCTCAGCGGAGCAATCCTCTGAGCTAACTCGGGATTTCAGCTTGTTGGGAGGTGGTTGGGGGGCTGCAGGTGTTTTTGTGTTCTGAAGTTCTACAGGGGAACCCGACTCAAAACTTGGTCCTTAAACTCCCTTTAGGCTCTTCTCCTAAGTCTCCTGTAGAAGATATGGTGACCTACGAAAAGGCCAAAGGTAATGCAGGGGGCACAAGGGTGCTGGATGCCGAAGCAACTCTACAACGCCTCCTCGGAAGCCTGAGTCTCAGTTTCACGGTTCCCAATAACATGAACTCCCTCACAAGCCTTCGGGATCCGTGTCTGTACATTCTTCTCTCCTGCAAGGTAGACGACTTCTGAGGGTCTTGTCACGCCTACGGCTCAAAAGTCGCTAACACAAGGGATCATGCTCCTTCAGTGGCTGACCTGAAGACTTCTGTTAGGGTTTAGGGTTTTTAGGGTTTAGGGTTTAGGGTTTGGGGTTTGGGGTTTAGGGCTTCCCCGGAGACGCAGGGCCTTTTCGGCGGGCCCGAGCCGAAGTTCACGATGTAGCGCGTCTCATGGGGCCCACATGGCACGAAGTAGAGCTGGTTGGTCCTGAGCGGCCATGGAACCATGGAACATGACAGAACTCCATGAGCTCAAGACTGTTTAGAAACTACCACAGGCAGACCGAAATGGGCCGTACTTCACGACGCCTTAAAAGCATGCAGAGGGAATGATGCAAGAATGAAGGGTTGAAAGTGAGAGACACCTCCGCCCTGACTTAGATCCGCAACCACGAACCTCTTGTCGATAGCCGAGAGACTCCACACGCCCGTCCGCATACTTGTAGACGGTTGTGTTCGAGCACGGAGGAACAAACCTTAGATTGGCTCAAGACGGTGGAAGAACGCATCTCCACGAGCAGGATAGGATTCAGGGAGAAAGCTCGAGATGTCTTAGAAGCCCTATAAACCGTAACTCTAAGCCCTCAACGAGCTTTTCGAGCTTTGCCAGAACATCTTGGCGAAGGAGCTGGCGGGTTGCGGAGATGCCCTCCGTGGACTCATCATAGCCTCCCAGGGGGCTTAGTAAGCACTGGCACGGTTCGTTCAGTGTGGCCACGAGAGCGCCTGAAAGTTTTAAGGCTTCAAACAGGGTATAAGGGTTTTGAAGATTGGGGCTCAGGGGGCTCAAGAGATGGGGCTTACAGGCTGAGGGTGTTGAGTGCTCCAGCTTCATTGGGTGGTGGATGAGCTCAAGAATGCCAGAAAAACCAGATCACAAGCCCAAAGCGACACCAGAGAAAGAATACCCTTTTTGGGGTCCCTTTAAGGGGATTCTATTCTATTTGGGGTATAAACGGCTCATTGAAGATTCTTTCAGAATGGCCAGGCGGCCACCGTGCTGCAACACGAAGCCGCGCTTGCCGGAGATGACACCGTCCCGCAAGTCGAACTTTGTCATCGCTCGTGCCTGTCAATCTCTAAACCAGGCTGTCTGAACTAAGCCCCAAAACTACTATATAGGGGCCTTATTAATAATTAGAACAGGGTTTTGGGGGGGTATTCTAGTACAACTACAAAGGGACCTCAAGGGACCACTATTAGTAATTATTCTGACCCCTGTAGTACTCTAAGCCCGTGGGCTTTCTAGCGAACTAGCCAGTACTCCGAACAAGGCAAACTCGTGCGCCGTGAGCTGCAATTCACCTTGCGGGCGCGCGGCTCGCTCAGCCGAGTACTTGACGATGCCGTTGTGAAGAAAGGGGGCGTGTGAAGGATCGAAGGTGTTCTCCATCGATACCTGTCTCGGGTTTTTGGACGCCACAGGACCTCCCCCCTCCCCACACATCAAGAAAATCAGGGTAGACGCGAGATTCAATTGTGCAACTTCCGTATGTGTCGGCTCAAGAGGAGTGAAGGTTGACCGTTGCAAGTTCGACACCCTTAGCTGGCTTAGCTTATATCCGTGCGTTGGCCTTCGACACATGTGGTGCTGCTGACTTAGGAGATCAAGGTTTAGGTAAGAGGACGGCATCGTCCAGTTCGCTTCCAGCTGTTCTCACAACGAAGGCCTGGTAGCCAACCGGGGCGACAGTCATGATCCATTCCTCAGTAGACGTCTTTTCAGGGTTGAGGTGCATCTACATCGTCATCTTGAGGGGCTGCCTCTGCCTCTTTAGGCACTTTAGGCGCCATGCAGCCACTGCGTGCACGTAGTAAGACGCGAATCCTGACACGCTGAACCCTGAGCTTCTGCCGAGGCACTGCCCCCTCCATCTCAGGAGTAACGCAGGGTGCAGACCTCAGGGGCCCCAAGATGAAGAGCAAGCTGAGCACGGAAGCCAACATCATTATCAGCGTTGCACTTTGAACGTTCTGCTTCCACCAGGTCGCTGGCGACTCTTCTGGGCAACTGCGGGGCGGTTTGGGACCACTTCCAGCGTCTAAAGCCCCATAGCCTACAACAGCATGCTTGGCCAAGCGAACAAACAAGATCGGGAATGGAATCGGGTCGGAGATCGGGAATCGGTGCGCGTCCTGCAAATACAAAGCTGGAAGCGCTGGAAAAGGGGCGCTGGACCATTCCCTGGAGGGCTTGAGTTGAGGGCCGGAAGGTTGGAACTGAAACCTCCATCCCCGCCATTTCGCCAAAGCAATCCACCAGAATTCCAAGAACGGGCATCCAGAAATCCAAAAGGTGAGGAGTAGCCGAAAAGTACCCTTTCCAATTTCATGCGGCCCCTCTGTTACCAGGCGGCTTCTTGGACTGGGTGAGTGCATCTTGTCCAGCAGAGGGGAAGATCCAGACCAGGCCCTGAACAGCATGCCGGTTGCCTCCCAATAACAATACTGATTACGAAGCTGATTACGAAGCATGTGAAATATATATATATATATATATACATATATACATATCTATATATATATATATATAAGCAAATATGAGAATAACAGTATTGATTACGAAACATGTGATATAGAAGTAAAGTATATGATTGCGGTGCATGTTAGAAGCTAGTTCCTAAATACTAGTTAACCTATCTCCCCCCCCCCCCCCCCCCCCCTCTATCCTTGATTCTGCCCTATTGAGGGGCAACAGGCTACAAGAGCTTGAGTTATGTAGTGGTTGGAGTCCTTGATTCAACATTTTCTAAAGCTGTGATACGCTTCCCAATCTTTCCTCTTCTGGGCACCCAGAAATCCAAATCACAAGATCCAAGTCTTCCTTAGTTCTGATGCGAGGCCATCAGACCTAGGCGAGAATTGTGCTCTCCATAAACACCTACTCGCGCCAGCGAATGTGCAAGCCCAGACTCCAAATCCTATAACAAGAGTTCATATATACACAAGCAATCACAAGCACTTAAACTCCGAGCAGATTGGGCCCTCAGACGACATTCGGTTGCAACTCCGAAAGCAAATTGCACCACGCATCCGCTAGAGCAGGTTTAAGCTGGACGGTTTAGGGTTTAGGGTTTAGGATTTAGGGTTTAGGGTTGACAGTGGCAAGTCTGAGAGAAAAAAGCCTTTGCCATGCACGTGTACTCCCCCAAGTCGTGGAGCGCTATTCAGAATATACCAAATGCTGGAAGTTGCGTCGTGACAGGCATCCCACACAGCTTCTTCGTTTAGGGCTTAGGGCTTAGGGTTTATTAGGGTTTAGGGTTTAGGGTTCTTTTTGCTGTGCCATGCTTGAAATGCGTACAGAAACCAGAAGCCATCCCTGGCTTTCCCCAACCCGACACGAAGGAATCCCCCCGCGTCCTGCTTCACCTGCACCGGGAAGGTCGCCAAGCCTCGGTCTCTCAAAGGAGAGCCCCTAAACCCCAAACCTTAAACCCTTTGAACCCGATTGAACCCGAAGCCCCAAACCCTTTAAAACTCAAACCCCAAACCCTGAACCATTTAAACTCCAAACCCTAAACCCTAAAACCTTTAAACTCCAAACCCTAAACCCTCGTAGGGATCATTGTACCTCTTGCTGCTTCGCATCGGCTAGAAGGCCGCGCTTCCTGGCTTAAGTTCTTCGAGGAGCCGACATCCCCAGACTTGCGGGGACGCCCTGAAGCCGTGTACAAAGCCAAACGGCACGTGGTTTAGGGTTTTAGGGCTTAAGGCGTGGGGTTCAGGGCTAGGGTTTAGGGTTTAGGGTTTAGGGTTTAGGGTTTAGGGTTTAGGGTTTAGGGTTTAGGGTTTAGGGTTTAGGGTTTAGGGTTTAGGGTTTAGGGTTTAGGGTTTAGGGTTTAGGGTTTGGGGTTGCCAGCTATAGGGATTTTTTTGGAAACCCTTAACATGGTTCTGAGAAGCCCATATCCGGCAAGGTTTAAGACATACTTCGAAGCCCTGTGCTCCGATGGTTCTGAGAAAATCCCACATGGGACGAGCGCCATTAGCATCGTCGGGGCATGTCTTGGAATGCACCCAAGCAACCCACACTTGAGGAATACTGCAATTTGTGATCACAACTAGTCATGAAAGAGCTGATCTGCTAATACCAGCACCAAACACCCGCACTCGTGGTCTTTCTGCAATGACACGCTTGACAATATAAAAGTGTGACTTAACGCAGCCCTAGCCCCCGTCTTTACACAGAAAATCACGTGATGCCAAGCAGCAAGAACGCCCCAGCCCGCAAATGCGTGTCTCCTTCAGAGGTTCATGCTGCTGTCAAAAAGGTGCTCTGGCGGAGTGCAGCAATGCGATGCAGGCCTCAACTAGCCTCTTCAGCCAAAGCCCTAAACTTGAAATCCGAACCGTAAGACGTTAGCACCTTTGACACTCGCAAAACCGACAAAACCGACGCCGCGAATCTGGCCTCGGCCTCATTTCGGGCCATGGGGACAGAGACACAGTTTCCGGCCTGAAAACACTGCGATACTTCGTGCTGTCTCACTCACACTCTAGAGGGTCAGGTGGGGACATTTTCACCATCATCAGGTAATGGCGGCTGAGCAGTGTAGGCATATACAGAGCACTCAGAACTCACAGAGTATAACTCGGCTCTCGAACGTTGTCGTGCGTGGCAGTGATGCTTCACTTCCAGGCATTGTATGGCATGAAGCGGTCGCTGCATCCGTCGGCCCGTTTTTCATCAAGGAACCGACAGGACTAGATCTGGGGCAGGCACCGGGGTTCTGCCCCCCTGTGCTGCATGCTTTTCAAATCTCACAAGCTGGTCGACTTCACGACTGCATTGCTTGAGCCCATCATCGCTGCATCTGTTTTAGACATAATAATAAGGAGGAAACAGCCGCAAAAGGGGCCATCAGCAAGACTACTGCCCCCATGTGGAGTCTTTGTTTAGTGAGTTTTCGCGAGCCTCTCTCAGCTCTAAAGTGCAAGGCACTTTCACACACCGCCAGCCTGTCATTGTTACTTGGAACTCTATACAGTTTAGTTGTACCTACCCCATAATTCGTAGTTATAGCCCTAAACTCTAAACCCTACACCCTACACCCTAAACCCTAAACCCTAAACCCTAAACCCATTCAGCTGTAGGTCAAGAGAGCCCCGGGTACTTTCACAGGGTTTTCCTCTTTGAGCCCAGTGACTGCGTTGAAGCACCAGCCGTGGTATCGGCACCGCAGCTCTCCTGACTCCAGAACCTGGGTTTACGGTTAGGGTTTAGGGTTTGGGGTTTAGGGTTGAGGGTTGAGGGTTGAGGGTCTATAGGGTCTAGGGTTTAGGGTTTGCCGCACATTTTGAGCAGAAGGGATTCCTCGAGAGTAACTTGCCTCGTCTTCAGTTACAGCCGAGCGGCTTCACCTGCAGACAGCGGAGCCATCCGATGAGGACAGCTGTCGAGAGCTGCGTGCCAGATGTTTTCTGTTGTGTCGGAGCACCAAACCTCAGGGAGAATCGGCAGGCTGCAAAATTTAGAATAGGTGCAAAGAAAGCACATCATCATCTGCTGCTGCTGCTGCTTCTGCTTCTGCGGTCATCGCCCAGAACTTCCTTGCTTTGCTGCGAGCTAATAAGACTAGTTAAGCGAAGAGGCCACCATGCGCTTGCCCAGGAGCTTCACAGGATTTGGCCTGGTTCTGGCAGGCGCACTTCTTCCAGTCACTATGTGACTATGACTAGGATGACTCGTATCGCTACTTCCCTAAAGCGCGGCTACTACTCACACCGATCTATTCCCAGTCTTCATCAGAAGGAATGGTCATGCGAGTTCATAAGCCCCCCCCCCAAAGTGCACACTTTCAGTTCTATAGAGGATTATAGTACCCCAAAAAGTGTAAAGCGTACTCACTCAGCTACTAGGAATAAACCCTGCATAGAAATCAAGGAAGGCAAGGTCGAGTCCAAGAATGCAACGCGCGTTCCGTCGCTTTGCAGCTCTGGTCTTCGCTGAGGTCGGGGCTTGTCGGTATGCAGGTAGTCGAGAGGCGCGATGGGATACCAGGCACGGTTCCAATCGAAGTACTCCTTCGCCTGGCAAGCCCCCGCAACGCAGGCCCCCCACAAACAAGCAAAGCGCCCCGGAAACAAAAGCGAGGTGATGAGCCGATGATCATTTGGGGGGAGTGTGGCCTCGGAACTTGCTTCGGAGGTTGGGAAGATGCTATCTCTCTCAAACAGCATTAGGTGGCATGAGAGTTGAGGACTGACTGCCTCTCACAGAAAAAGCCCGAAACTTGAAGCTGGGAAGATCATGTGATGGCACTTTTGTCTAGGCTTCCTGCTGCCCTGATGGCCTGCTGCTTCATCTCCTTCGTGACGTCGTCGTCCTTTCTTTTCCTGAGCTCATTGCTTCTCTTTCGGGGTTTGGGGCTGAGGGCTTGGGCCTTCTCTGTGTAGGCTTGAAGAGGCCTAAGTCTTGCACTGTTCAACCCTAAGAGCCTTTATTTGGAGAGCGCTCTGAACCCTGGGGTTACAAACTGGTCAAGCTTCTCATTGGGCTTGAAGGCATCCAGCACCTCCTCCATCATATCCACGGCCTGTTGCATGGGTCATGGGGGAAGGTTCATGTATCAGCTACTCTCCAGCTGGCCGCACCATAGCCAACCTCTAACTGTGGAAGACTTGACAACATGCTGACAGCAGCGTTTCAAGAAGGTGCACGGAACCTTCGTATGCTTTGTTGTCCTAAGGCCATGCCATGGGACTAAACTGGCGCAGGAACGGTGGAGGGTGCCCACTGGAGTCTCGGGTCCCATGCGCAAGAGACGTTCATTGTGTTGGTCTTGCGATGCGACTTTCCGTAACCCTAAACCCTCAAATACCCTCAACCCTAAATCCTAAGGGTGTCACATCTGGCATTCCTGGTGCATGGCTCCGCATCGCAAGTGCAGGCTGCCTGCTGCTTCGCTTCCTTGGGGGCTGCATCCTTGTCTCCCTCACTCCTCGGCTTCCTATGAGGCTCAAGAGGCGTAGTGACTTCATCGGGGTGCCTATCATGCATTGAGGCCCGAGGCATTACGGAAGGCTGGAACATCGGAAACCCACACCCTTAGAGAAGCCTGCAAACAGTGCATGCACCCGACGTTTCCTTCACAAATGGGCGGGGGCTCCAAAGAACCCACGTTGTAAGGGCGCTGCGTCAGAAAGCCAGTTCAGGAACATGCCCCCAAAAACCCACAACCCACGTTGCAGGTAAGGCCGCCACATGAGTGAACCCAAACCATTACCAGCAAGACGATCCTGCACCACAACCTGATAAACCCTGTTTCATACCTTCCTCCCCAACTTCTGAAAACAAAACGAGTGATTGGGATCGCTCCGCCGCAAAACAAGACAATCTTGACTAAGGCATCTGCTCTATTTGTTAAGACGCGTGTCCGAGAATAGCCGGCAATCACCCCCAGAAGGTAACACATCTCCACCACCCACTTGAAGCCCAAAGTGCCGAAACCCTCAACCTGGCCCGGAAGCTCCCACTGACACTTAACCCTAAGAAGGCTTCCGATCTCGAACTAGACGAGCCCTCAAAGGTTTTCCCGGGCCTGGGCTCTCGGCGCGGCTTGCCATGCCGCAAGTGCTGCCATGCGGCTTCTCTTCGGGCTTCAAAGCGGCAAGCATCTCTCCCACCATGCCAGATACCTCGCAAAGTCTTCACAGAGGCAAGAGAGGTAGGCAGGTGTGTTTGCGCAGAAACTTAGGGCCACAACAAAGCTGGCACTTGAGAAGCACACTTTCCAAGCCCCGAACCTGTGGCGGAGCGTATGTCTCTTGCTTGGCAGCATCCGTCGAGTCAGATTTTTCGGACACCTGCTCAGCTTTTCCTTTGGTATCCTTGCTTGGCTTGTCTTGCTTGACATCGCCTTTGCCAGCTGTGGTCTCAGCCTTTGGTACTGCGGAGACTTCTGGCTTCTTTTTATCAGAGTCTTTCTTGGGCTTCTCTTCAGGTTGTGATTGCTCCGATTTCAATGCTTTGTCCATTTCATCCACAGGCTCTTTTGCAGGCTCCTTCTTCTCCTCGCCCCCCTTGGCTTCATCTCCTGACTTCTCCTTGTCCTTATCATCTTTGGCTTCCTTCTTGGGCTCTTCTTCCTTCGCTGGCTTCTTCTTCTCCTCGCCCTTGGCTTCATCTCCTGACTTCTCCTTGTCCTTATCATCTTTGGCTTCCTTCTTGGGCTCTTCTTCCTTCGCTGGCTTCTTCTTCTCCTCGCCCTTGGCTTCGTCTCCTGACTTCTCCTTGTCCTTATCATCTTTGGCTTCCTTCTTGGGCTCTTCTTCCTTCGCTGGCTTCTTCTTCTCCTCGCCCTTGGCTTCATCTCCTGACTTCTCCTTGTCCTTATCATCTTTGGCTTCCTTCTTGGGCTCTTCTTCCTTCGCTGGCTTCTTCTTCTCCTCGCCCTTGGCTTCATCTCCTGACTTCTCCTTGTCCTTATCATCTTTGGCTTCCTTCTTGGGCTCTTCTTCCTTCGCGGGCTCTTCTTCTCCTCGCCCTTGGCTTCATCTCCTGACTTCTCCTTGTCCTTATCATCTTTGGCTTCCTTCTTGGGCTCTTCTTCCTTCGCTGGCTCCTTCTTCTCGTCGCCCTTGGCTTCATCTCCTGACTTCTCCTTGTCCTTATCATCTTTGGCTTCCTTCTTGGGCTCTTCTTCCTTCGCTGGCTCCTTCTTCTCCTTGTCCTTATCATCTTTGGCTTCCTTCTTGGGCTCTTCTTCCTTCGCGGGCTCCTTCTTCTCCTCGCCCTTGGCTTCATCTCCTGACTTCTCCTTGTCCTTATCATCTTTGGCTTCCTTCTTGGGCTCGTCTTCCTTCGCGGGCTCCGTCTTCTCCTTGTCCTTATCATCTTTGGCTTCCTTCTTGGGCTCTTCTTCCTTCGGCTTCCTTCTTGGGCTCTTCTTCCTTCGCTGGCTTCTTCTTCTCCTCGCCCTTGGCTTCATCTCCTGACTTCTCCTTGTCCTTATCATCTTTGGCTTCCTTCTTGGGCTCCTTCTTCTCGTCGCCCTTGGCTTCGTCTCCTGACTTCTCCTTGTCCTTATCATCTTTGGCTTCCTTTTGGGGCTCTTCGTCCTTCGCCGGCTCCTTCTTCTCCTCGCCCGTGGCTTCATCTCCTGACTTCTCCTTGTCCTTATCATCTTTGGCCTCTTTCTTGGGCTCTTCTTCCTTCGCGGGCTCCTTCTTCTCCGCGCCCTTGGCTTCATCTCCTGACTTCTCCTTTTCCTTATCATCTTTGGCTTCCTTCTTGGGCTCTTCGTCCTTCGCGGGCTCCGACGGCTCTGTCCCTTTCTCCACTTCGTCCTCGGAAGGTTTCTTGGAGTCTTTCTTCACCTCCTCCTCTCCATCTTTGGCATCATTCCCGGGCTTCTCTTTGGGCTCCTTCGTCTCAGGATGTTCGTCTCAATGGCAACCCACACAATGCCCTATGCAGATGACAGCGGCTGCCAAGTGCCAACGCGCAAGAGCCTTGTGATCTTCCTGAGGCTCTCACCCGCAACCCTTTTTGAACCCTAAACCCTAAACCCTAAACCCTTTTGAACCATAAGCCCTAAACCCCCTTCCGGCTTCTCCTCCTTCTTGTCCTCTGAATTCTTGGCATCCTTGCTATCCGAAGCGGAGTCATCTTTGGACTCTGCTTCGCCAGACTCCTTACTTCTCCAAATCGCCAAGGAGAAAAAAGGTTAAACTTATATTATTCTTCGTGCTAAACGAGGAAACCCAAAAAAGGTTAAACTTATATTATTCTTCCTAGTAAATAAGGAAGCCCAAAAAAAGTTTAAAGCTCAACTATTGGCTAATTAAGACTCTTGTGACGCTTTGGGGTCCTTGTCCGAGCCGTCCTCGGTGTCGGAGCTCGCACGCCGGACCTGTAGGCTGTTGATGGGGTTGAGGGTTTAGGGCCCTTGCGGGTTTAGGGTGTAGGGTTTAAGGCTTTTTTGCCACCCGCCTAGCAGACCCCCTCTGAGTTTAAGGTTTAGGGTTCAGGGTTTAGGTGTCTCGGAGTCTCGGGATTCTACACCTCCGAACTTTGCTGTGGCCGAAATCCTCCCTAAGGTGGCGCAAAAAACCATAAGCCAGAGCAGCGCGTGCTCGCTGCTTCCCGCATGGACTTCGGGCCAGACGTGTGCTCCAACCTGGAGAGTCAAGGAAGGAATGACCGAAGAAACAGATTCGGTGGCCGTCTACACCTACACCTTCTACACCGCGCGATTTTTGGGAGCTCCACCCTGAACCCTAAGCCCTAACCCCTAACCCCAAAAAGCCCTAAACCCTAAACCCTAAACCTTAAACCCTAAACCTGCCTCCAGCAAGACTCAGAAGGGCAGCGCCCCAGCTCCGGCAACGCGGTGCCTTCGTGGGGGTCTGAGGGTACGGTACGACCCCCCTCCTCCCAGCAACTCCAGAAGCTTCTTGCTAAAAAAAAACAAGCCCTCGAAGCCAAAGAACCGATCGACAGAACCCCAAACTCCGAAACCACCCCCAGCAATCCACGCGGCAGGCAACACTCATGTCCTTAAGAATACTGTCTCCGCTGCCTCAGCAAGCTTGGGATCAACGCTGGCCCTCTGCGTCTTGTGCCTCAGAGGTCCGCGGATCACACCTGAGTTCAGTTGCCGGGGAGTGGGGGGATGTGGGGAGTCTGGGAGTTGGTCCTTGTTGGGTTTCAGGTCGCCAAGAGCTCAAGCAAGGGCACCATACCCACCTTGTTTCAAGCCTCATAACCTTGCACCGGAATTCAGAGATGTGAAGCAAGTTGACAGGTACCGCAACCCTACTCCAACTTGTGGTGAAAGCTTCTCTACACAGCTGGCAGCTACAAAAAAACCTCTGAGCTGGAGCGCTGCGGTGGAGTTCTTCGAGATCCGGTTGTGCCCGGGCGATCGGAGAGACTCTCCAAGACCCATGCTGAACGCCAGGAGGGGGCGCCCAACGCAGAGACATGGCTCCCAAAGCGTTAAAAAAATCTCTTGTGCTATATAATAAGCAAAGAAGGCCACATGCCTCAACCCGTGGAGTTTCTCGGACTTCGACAAACGCCTCGTGCGGGTGAGATAAGGGCATAGCCACTGAAGGGTCACTTCTACTTAATTTTGCCTTGTGCGTTGTGGCGTTACCCGTAGATCGTGTGTTTTTTCGCCCTAAACCCTAGACCCTAAACCCTAAACCCTAAACCCGTTGCCTGCCCGCCCTCTACACCCACCTGGAGCTTTGCTTCTCAAAGCCTTGTACGAGACCAGGCTGAGCTGTCCCATGATGCACATGTAGATTCTTGCGTGTGCATAAATAAAAAATACTATTAAACAAAGAAGAAATAAATAAATATATAAATATAAATATATATATATATATGTATATATATATACACACCCTCTTCAACGAATCATATCCTAGCAAGCTTGGCAATTGTTAGGGCCTCCTGCATGGACGCCTCATCATCCCCACCTCGACACCACGAACCATGAATTCTGCAAAAGCCCAGAACGCCAAATCCTTCGTTGATTCTTTCCAATGTGCGGACCCACCTTGATGGACGCACATTCGTGTGATGTGCTATGCAATACCTTGACCTTGAGACACGAGCGAATCCCGGACTGGAACGGCACCCAAAGAATGGAAAGCGCCCACTGACCCTTCATGACCCTTCATCCCGTGTCCGCACTTTTTGCGTCCCGCTCTTGCAGGGCGTTTGGCAGAAGAAAAAAAAACTCTAACATGTGCATGGATTCGTGAGGTGATGTGCCTTGAAGGCATTCAGCAGGGGGGGAAAAGGCACAGCCTTGATGCCCCCCGACTCACCTTCACCCCCCCCTTTTGACGGAGAGCTTCTCTCTCTTTCCCTACCATTTTCAGGACTTTGGTTCGGCATCTTGTGTGGTGCTCAGAAGCTTCTCGATTTTTTGGTGGAGTAGGTCCTCATTCATCTCAACACATCGATTTCGTCAGAAAGTTGGGGAGGGTATGATTCAAATGATCTTACCTCGGCTACTGGTGCGATACCGTGGGCATCCGATTTACCCGAAGCCGCACTTAAACTGCGGGGCTCGGCTTAGATGCCGGTTGTTTCCGAGTACCGAAACTGAAGCCTTTGCCCTGAGCCAAACCGTACTGAGCACTGAACCAGTAACCTGCGATGTCAAGTCTCGGAAACGCCCCGTCTCTTCAGCAAATGTCCCTGCCTCAAATACCACAGAGTTGCAGGCGAGATGTCTGTGATGTAAAGCGTGCTACGCGTATCGAGTTTGTACATATGTACGTATATAACAAGTATCAATGTATGTATGTATGTATGTATGTATGTATGTATGTATGTATGTATGTATGTATATACATATATATATATATATATGTGTATGTATATATACATGTGACAATATATATATATATATGCTACCCCCCCTCAGAACCCACCGTAAGCACAGTGTAAGGGGGCGGGGTGTTTCCCCGAAGGCTGCGATCTGGCGGGCCACCCCTTTAAACCAATGGGTAAGGGCAGGGTGAGGAAGTGGATTTTGCACACTCCCCGCCGGGTCGCGCACAGCAGAAATTCACCAAGCTTGCGTCCTAATAATCTGAACACCAAGTTAAGCCGTCTGTACGCAAAGTTGTTCCAGTAGCTGACAAACAAGCCCGGGGCTGAAACCTTCAAGAGTTCAAGTAAACATTAAAGAGTTTCCCTATGTTTATTCGTTTAAGGTTTAGATACAGACCCCAAAGGTTTAGGCTTAAACCTATTCCAAAGCCTTACAGTTTCCCTCGCGACTAGAGAAATTTCACTTAACCCTATTCGTTGACTGTTTAGGCTGACAGCCTGTTCCAGAACTTTAGATTTTCCCCGCTACCAAACATCCGCTAAAGCCGAGACCCTATTCCCACATATTCAACGAATATTGTTTAGTAGTGGCATAGCCTATTTCTTCAAGGTTTAGGCTGGCACCTAGTCCAAAACCTTTTCTCGTGACTAAAGGCATTTCACTGATGCCCAGACCCTATTCCCTAAAGACATTTTACTAAAGCCCAGACCCTATTCCCATACTTTCAACGAAAATTGTTTAGGAATTTTCGTGCTTCCTATTCCTGTAAACCCTAGAATTTCTTGAAGATTTAGGCTGAAACCGATAGTCCGTAACCTGAAATTTCCCTCGCCACTGAAGGCATCTCACTAAAGCCTTGCCCCTTCTATCAAGCCCAGACCCTTCTTCCCGTACTTTCAACGAATATTGGCGGTCAGGCAGCCTATCTCTTGAAGGTTAGGCTGACTCCTAGGTCCTAGTCCAGAACCTTCTGTTTCCCCGCGTCACTATAGGCATTTCGCTAAAGCCCAGACCCTCTTCTTTTAGGACATTTATTAATGAAGCCCAGACCCATTTACCATACGTTCGACGAATATTGTTTAGGAATAGTCATGCTTCCTATTCCTGTACACCCTAAAATTTATTGAAGATTTAGGCCCTGAAACGTTTCCCTCGCCACTGAAGGCATTTCGCTAAAGCCCAGACCCTTTTCCCTAAAGAACTTTTTCGAAAGCCCAGACCCTTTTCCCATACTTTCAACGAATATTGGTAGTCAGGCAGCCTACTTCTTGAAGGTTTAGGCTGAAGCCTAGTCCAAAACCTGATGTTCCCCGCGTCACTGAAGGCATTTCACTAAAGCCCAGACCCCTTCCCTTAGGACATTTTCATGAAGCCCAAACCCTTTTCCCATATAAAATGTTTAGGGTTTAGGGGTAGGGTTTCGGGTTTAAATTTTGAGGTCCAGGGTTATTCGCGGATTCCCAGAAAAGTCTTGGGATGAATTTTGGGTCCCCGTGAGTTTGGGGATCCAGGCAATTAACACGCCCTCAACTCTGGGTTCCCATGGTCTGGGCACCGTGTTAATCAACACGGGCCCCGTGTTAATTAACACGACCGAAACCAAGAACCAAGATTCCCGGAAAAGTCTTGCGGGGATTCTTGGTTCCCATGGGGATGGGACCGTGTTAATTAACACGGGCCCGTGTTAATTAACACGGCCGGAACCAGGAACCAAGAACCAAGATTTCCAGAAAAGTCTTGCGGGGATTCTTGGTTCCCAAGGGGATGGGACCGTGTTTCCCTTGGGAACCAAGAATCCCCACAAGACTTTTCTGGGAATCTTGGTTATTGGTTCTTGGTTCCGGCCGTGTTAATTAACACTGGGCCAGTGTTAATTAACACTGTCCCAGGCTCAGAAAACCACATTATGAAGCTTTATGTCTTTGAGGGTGGGTTCTGGGGAGGGGGGGGGGTACCATATATATACATATATATATATATATCTATATGGTTGTGCGCTGCGCGTTCTGGCCCCCCTCCGCCTCCCCACAGTATCCCTCCCCCCCCCCGCCTGGTGTAAGGCTTTGGAAGGTTGCGCCCGGACATGTTCAGACTCATGCCGAGGTCTCCCCTAAACCCGGTTTAGGGTCTAGGGTTTCGGGTTTAGGGTTTAGGGTTCTAAACCTTAAAGTGGGGGGTGGACCCACAGCCACACCACGGGCTGGGGGGCCGGGGTGGGTGACGGGGTCTGCGGAGCTCGTGACCATGCATCGTTTCTTGATTCACAACATTCTTACTTGCAGCTTGGTTTCTGCTGTATTTAGGGTTTAGGGTTTTTTGCCGCTTGCCAAGCAGACCAACCGCACTGCAGGGCATGGGCTTGGGTTTTTAGGGTTCGCCTGTTTGCAACTCCTAGGAGCCACGGGCATCTATGCGGAACAAGGGACGTGGCTCGACCCAAAAGGATTCCCAAGGACTGATTAGGAGTATGGAATCCCAGGCTACCTCTGGCCAGGTGGAATGTAAAGCTGTGGACCCTTTTTGCTACCTTGGTACCATATACAACAAGGAGTGTGCCAGCACGGAAGCCCCGAATGAGGTCCACACCCCAACACGGAACACCTAAAGCCCTAAATCCCAAAGACTCCACCGCAATCAATCGCTCCAAACCCCAGAGCCAAGAAGTGCTTGCTAACCCTAAACCCTAAACCCTAAACCCTAAACCCTAAACCCTAAACCCTAAAAGCCCTAAACCCTAAACAGCCCTAAACCCCTAAGAGCCAAGGAGTCCTTGGGCCCCGCTGGATCGAGCGAAAAAATATTCCTCACGATGTCGCATCAGTGAGGTGCGCGGGCGATGCTGCGACTTCCCTCAGGGCTTGTGGTCCCCCTAAAACCTTCTGTAGTCCCCAAGAACCCCTATAAAAACCTTATACAGTCCCTAAATATCCCTTAAATGACCCTATATGGACCTTATGTAGTCCCCAAGAACCCCTATAAAAAACCTCATAAAGTCGCTACAAACCCTTAAATTACCCAGTCCCTAAGAACCCCTGTAAGAACCTTATTACAGTCCCCTAATGACCCTTAAACCACCCTATATGGACCTTATATAGTCCCTTATAACCCCTAAATAACCTCACGGCTGGTGGTCCCCCAGAGGCAAGGGAGTTGCAGGGTTTTGGGGGTTTAGGGTTTAGGGTTTAGGGTTTTAGGGTTTTAGGGTTTTGGGGTTTAGAGGCTTAGGGTTCTGAATGTGGTATTTCCTCTGCATTTGGGGGTAGAGCATCCAAGGACCCAAGCCCTGAGACTGTGCAAGGGACTTTCAACGTGTCACACACACGTCTACTGCATGTAGAAGTTCCTGAAGGGTCCCGATGGCCTGCATGAGGAGCCCACTAGCACGAATAGCAGTCCTTGATGTTACAGGCGGTTGAGGATGATCAAGGCTAGAGAGGTCTATTGCTAGTGGACAGCCTCAACAGATAGAATCTGACAAGTGGCAGGGCAAAACTCGGAAGCCCTTCAGACGTACAATTGTGCAAGGTGATCGACAAATCCCACTGTATCCGTCCAGTGCCGTTACACAGTACCAGCGGAGACAAATCTAAGGCCGCCCGTGATGTTCCATCCACGAGCACTCAAATGGGCGTATAGAAAGACTGGAGCTTCCTGCCCGCCACCTGCCCCCTTTACTGGTGGAGGTTTGGGGGGCCCCCGCTCAGTTGCTGAGGGGGGCCTGTCTTTAACATGCCGTGTGGATGTTGTGTGCATGTCGCTGTGAATGGCAGGTGTCCACACACACATCTCTATATATGCATATATATATATATATATGCATATATATATATATATATATATATATATATATATATATATATATATATATATATATATATATATATATATATATATGCATGTGTATGTGGGTGTATCCATACGCGTATCTGTATACACGTATAAGTTCAAGTGCACATGTATACATGGGTCTGGACAACTTTGCTCTCTGTGGCCAGTGTCAACCAACAACTATCCAAAGCCCTTACTTTCATGCTAGGTTAAGCTCCGAAGGCCTCGGCTCTTCATAGCACCCCCCCCCCCCCCCCCCCCGATCTGATACTCAGGGCCGCAACAGCAAGAGTTGTTTCGGCATCCTTGTCAAGCTATACATCCTGCCGCACAGGCGGCTTCCATACCACTCCGCACTCCCCCTTGTATGAAAAAAGACTAACCCCTCAACAACTGCAAACCCTAAACCCTAAACCCTAAACCTTTTTTGCCACTGGTCTGAGGTCCAGCCAGACCTAAACCCTAAACCCTAAACCCTAAACCCTTCCGAAACCCTCAACCCTAAACCCTCAACCCTAGGCGATTGAATATCATTGGGGTGTAAGGTCTTCAGGTGTGCCAGAGTCACATCTGGGAGCAAAGGCAGGCAGGCTGCGCCTTCCATGAGCCGGATTGTAAGTTTCAAAGGTGGTGGAGAAGGAGAGGCTTAACAGGGGGGCGTGGGTGGGTTAGGGTTTAGGTTTAGGGTTTAGGGTTTAGGGCTTAGGGTTGAGGGTTGAGGGCTTGGGGTTTGGGGTTTAGGATTAGGGATAAGGGTTTAGGGGGCTTACCATTAGTAGGTACCCAGACGTTATCAGCGTACTGCAGATGGGGTCTCTGCGCTGAATTGTCTTCAGGCTGTTGGGTCGAAGGCTCCGAGATAGAACTCGGGTCGCTTTGGCAAGTTCGAAATCGGATCCTCTTGGGTCCCTTCGGACTTGTGAGATATGCTTTTCACTTTACCGAGGCTTGGGGGGTCTAACTTTCTGCATGCCGGCCAGTTGAGTTGTGAGTTTTCTGCTCCTTATCACTCATGTGCCTCTACAGCGTCGTTCGGCCCAAACACCCGCGAGTGCTCTTGAATCCAAGGCCTCCCGTCCCAGGTGCCAAGGCAACTTAGGCCTTGAAGATAAAGGAGCGAAACGCAAGGATTTCCTGCAACCTTGTATGTTTGGGTGGGGAGTACATACTTTGGCATGCCTTCCGCAGAACATTCCCTCGAAGCCCCGCAGGAGCCTAAGCAACCCTTCCTTCATTCGCAGGCCTGAGACTACAAGGCCTCCAAACCCAAACGCGTCTCAAAACCCCCACACCCCCCCACCCTCCCCCCAAACACTCCCCACTTCCCGGTGGCCTCAGACTCCAAAGCCTCCAGGCTCGCGAGCATGGAGGCGGCCCCCGGCCGCTTGGCGGCATCGGCTGCCCAAGCGGCAGCCAGGAGGCCCCGGAGCTTCCGTGGGCACTCCGCGAGCCTCAGGGAGCGAGGGATTCTTCGCGCAGGGCTTCTTTCCGGGTTTTGGACATGTGGGTTTAGGGTTTAGGGTTTAGGGAGAAAAGGGTGGGGGGGGGGGGATTGGAATACACCGGCTTGCAGCCGAAGAGGCAGTGGCCGCGGCTCTTCCCCCTTGGCAGGGAGTCCCGTTCTCGGATGTTTAGACTGAAATTGCCGATGTACGTTTGCACATATATATATATATGTGTCTATCTACCTTTTTAGATATATATATATATGTATATATATATATATATATATTTTTTTGTTTCTGTACTAATCTTTCCTGCGGACCTGAACCCTCCCTCCTGACATCCAACCAAGCCCCCTACCCGCAAGACAAGCCAGGAAACAACACTTGGAGCAAAGGCCCTAAAGCGCGGAATCCAAAACTGCAGCATCAGCTCTACACCCAAAGTACGCAAGATCCAAAGAACCCGACGAAGGCCAAATGAAAGCCGTCCATCTGTCATCTGCCCCTGCCTCGACAAACAAGTCCAGAACAAATTCCTGAGAGCCATTACAGGTGCCAGAGTGGTGCCGCAAGAATATCCGTGGCTGAGCGTCCTACGAATCCACACCCTCCGCTCACGCTGGTTTGGGCAGAGGCCTTTGAATGCTGAACCCCAAACAGACAGTTCCACAAATACCAAAGACGAACATACGTCGTTATAATAAACATAAACCCAAAATAATCAGGATGGGAACTCATTAGGGTGTAGCCTCCAAGTGTCGGCTTCTTCCGTGCTTGCAAAGTTGTTTTGTTTGGGGTTAAGGTTTAGGGCACCTGCCTCGAAGGGTTGTTGATAGGCAGGGCTTAAGCACATCCTAATCCCAGACCCTCCCAACGCTTCAGGAACTGATGAGAACCGGATGTCGGCGGGCAAAGTTACACGAACAACCCTAAAGTTTATTTAGTGTGCGGGGTTTCCCAAGACTACTCCTTGCTAAGCGTGCCGACAAAATGCAGGATCTGTGCCCATGTGGTGGAAGGGCTGGCGACCGGAGCTCATGAAGTAGAGGATCAGGGCAAAGGCATAGATATCAACTTTCCTGGAGTCCGGCTTTTTGGGGTTTCACTCATTTTGGGTTGTAGGGTGGTTCTCGGGTGGTTGTAGGGCAGCGGCAGTGATGGCAGCCTTTCTGGGCTTGGGTGCTGCGTGCTTGAACGACGTGAGGGCTTTGGTTGGGGAGGGAGGGGGCGGGGGGGTGGAGTATCTACAAAAAGCACGCAAAAAAAAAAGAACAGCATATAATTAAGAGGCAGCAAAGCTGCTCGTTGTAGTAGTGATCCCGCGCGACCTCAGCAGCCGAAACGGCTGACTCTGTCATGCCTGCAAACCATCCCTAAACTTTCTTAGAAGCACAGCTTCATAAAGCAACACAGGTGGACGTTTCGAAGATGCTCTTTGGGGTTTTTGGCTTCGTTTGCCACCTTGGTGTATATAGCTGCTAGAGTCTGCTATGCCAGAGTTATAACTAACGCACGCGTTGGGGCATCTGTACGTTGCCGAGCCATGGCGATGTGCAAGGCCGGAGAACCTCCAAACCCCTTCAGGGTTTTGCCACCTAAGCAGATCCGATTAATGTTTAGGGTTTGGGGACGCGCCTCAAGACCCTAAACGGCCTAAACGCAAAACCACCTGATGAAGCGGGGGTGGCGTACACGACTCTGAGCTCGCGCCTGCTGGGAGCCACCCTAAACCACACAACCTGAATCCCAAGCCCCACCTTTTAAAGAGACATCTGAAGACGGAAGCCCAAATTTCAACTGCAGCTAGCTGCCTCGGGCGCCATGTACCGAAATGTCCCGACACCACCGGTCATGGCATATCTCCCATGATCTCCTTCCATGATCCCATTTTTTGGGTAGGGTCTTGGGCTAGCACTGGTGCACCTGGGTGTAGGGTTCAGGGTTTTGTCATCTCGGGGGCTCCACCTTCTACACCCAAAACCTTAAACCCTAAACCCGTTTAGGGTCTTAGGGCTTTAGGGGTGAGGGAATGGCAACAGCGAAGGGTTTCATTTTTGGGGGAAGAGTCGCTGCTGACAAGAACAAGTTCAAATTTTCAAAGCGGTGACCTAGGCACGTTCTTCGTTTGCCTCGGGCGGGGTCAAGGACAAAGGGGCCTAAATCCTAAACCTAAACCCTGTAATTTAATCAGACAGAACCATAGCCGTCAAGGATGTGTGCAGATCATGAAGAAGTCAGCCGAAGTCGTGGCATGCGGGAGGCCTGCTCAAAGTGTTGACAGGGAGTCGATAGTTAACATCTTAAACCGGGTGACGACCATCATGTGCAAGACTACGCTCTGAGTTCAAGCGTGCCGCAGCAATGAGACAACTGAGCACCTGCGACCAGTGCATACGGAGCCGGACACGTGCCCAATAACTGAAGTCTTGCCCCTATACCACAACAACACCTCTTTCACTGGCCCCATGGAGGGGATACTAGACCCTGATGACCTCCTGCAAAGCGCTCCGATCGTAATTGCAGGCCTTTGCCCGCAGCAAGCACGCGGCTGATGCCAAGATCGGCAATCTGCACCGCGGACCAGGGGGTGTAGAGGGCTTCGCACGAAGACATGTCCAAAAAAAGTGGGGGAAAACAGGCAGCAACCCTCTTCCTCCAAAAACGAACAGCTGCTCTCCCAAAAGCCCTACGAGTAACCGGTGCAGATCGGGACCTTCAGGTCCAGATGCTTGGTCAAGAGAAGGTTCAGGGGCTTGAGATCACCTCAGCAGCCATGCTCTTGTACAGACCCGTCTGCAACACGGTGTCGCCCTTAACCCTAAACCCTGAACCCCGTGTGTATGGTTGGGATCCGAGGACCTCCATGGCTCAATTCGTTCAAGATCCTTCCATCTCAGCCCCAACACCTTTGAAAGCATTGATTAGGAGTATTTGCAACATCCGAAGACCAGAGATCAAGTCACGATGTATAAGAGGAACTTCTCGGGTGTGCAAGAAAAGCAGTCCCCGGGCGATGGCGGTCGCCCACTGGAGAACCTGTCACTTGAAGTCTTGAAGGCTTCACTTCACGCACCTCTGTGAGCCACGCGCCCCTATGATGAGGCAACATGCGCATGCATGCACATCCTACGATTTGCCATTGCTGCAAAAGAATGGCTGCAAGCATGGGATCCACAACTGGGGCGAGTGCTCAACACAGCGAGAACCCAAAGGGTTGCAAGGCGACGGGGCGCTCCCGCATGTGGTGAGTCGGCCTGCTTCAAGTGAGGATGCCAAACGGAAGCCTGGTGCTTTGCGCGCTTCGCGACGTAGAAAGCCTCAAGGTCACCTCAGCGACGGGGATGTTTTTTTTTTTGGTGATTTTATGGGGTTTAGGAATTCGTCTACCCCCTTACTCTGCTAACCCCCCCCCCCCCCCAAAAAAAAAAAGGTTTGTCACGACCTCGGGGGGTGTGTCCCGAGGATTCCAGGGTTCCATGCGACTCCTCTGAAAGGCAGTCGATGCATGGACGCATGGGGTAGGGATTGTAGGGAGGGAGGGGCCCTCCTAAAAAGTTATGGTACACCCTAAACCTCAAAAGACCTCAACCCTAAACCTCTAAACCCTTTTTGTAAAGAATACACTAAATCATGGTACATGGAGTTACCCAATCTGACACCCTTTGACATGCAACCTTCATAACTCAAAACCCACCCCCTGTTTCAGCGCCTTTTCCCCTTCCTGCTGTGCAAGTGGAACAAGCAACAGCCCCCCATGGTCTTTAAAACAACGTGCTGCAGACGATCCTAGACGCATGAGCTGCTGATGCCCCTACGACTACGAGCCGACCTGATTGCCAGCTGGAAGGAGGAAACGCTGATCCCGACGCTTTCTGAACTACCTGCGCACACAACAAAAACCCTAAACCCTAAACCCTAAACCGACCTGCAAACACCCCAAGAAGCCAATAAGCAACAGCAGGAGCAAGACACACAAACAACACCACTCACCCTCCGAGATGTGAGAAGCCTGAAAGCACTGAGCATTCCAAATCGAGACAAGTCACCACCTGGCATGTACTCCGTGATGCAAGCGATCGTGTGCGTGGTGTCGAGACAGGCACCCAAGAACCTAAATTATTGCACTACTTGGGTGTTTAGAGTCAAGCCCAGCAAGGCTGCATACTGCAAGGGCCTGGGGCTTCTCCAGGCTTTGGAGGGAATCTGTTGGAATGTCACAAGGCCGAGAAACAAGACGAGATCTGGATGGCGTATGGAGGAAAGCACGTCAATCTCATGGAGAAGCTCCTGTACAGGTGGCTGTCAAGTCATCGACAGTGAAGCCAAAGGACGGTTGATTTACCCTGCTTACTTATTGCACCTTCTTTGCCAGCAGTCGCAAGGATCAGGCAACACGTTGCCCTGGCAACAACAAAGCCGCATTCTGCCTGGTTGCGTTGACTGGCTCCTGGCCTGGAATCGCTGGTTGCGCCCATGAGCATGAGCATTCTTCTCTTAAGGTTGTGCTGATTTGAGAGCAAAACCTGCGACAAATGCGTTCCTAATACCTCCAGTCAAGCTGGAGGCATGGTCTGGGCGCGGCCCGCCACAGTCAAGACACAAGGGTTGCTTGCGTGTGTAGAAAACGGCAGGGCCGGCCCTAAACCCTCATAAGACCTACATGCTAAGACGCACCACCACCACGACCCTGGAGTGTTCTAGCAGTGATGTCGCGGTAACACCTCCAGATGTGCAAATGTTATCGTGTCCTGCCTGCGTATGTAAGCGTGTCCTAAACTTTACATGCCAAGCTGCTCGCAGATCCCAACAATGTTAGATGTCATCCTAAACACCAAAACTGCTACAACTTCGGTCTGAAACTTCGAACACGACAGCTCCGTGGGATCAGGGTCCCCTCCATCTGGCTGTCCGATCGCGACGCATGTCCCGGTGAACGCTATAGCCCCCGAACTCAACGCTTGCAGCCACACTTTTCGCAACAACCTAATGTCGCCTCTTCCTGACATCGCAATCCTTCGAGCCTTATAGAGGACCTGATCATGTGGCACAAGTATGCGACCACTGCTGCACATGCTCCCTCCGCGGTTTTCTGTGAACGGGGCTCCGGCTGCCCTCGACTGCCGCATGACGAACACACAGGTTTTGGGAGTTTCGGGGTCAATGGTGTGGATCTAGGTGATCTAGGTTAGGGGGGGTTTAGGGTTTAGGGTTCAGGGTTTAGGGCTTGGCTTACAGGGCTGAAGTTTGCTTGTTTAACGAAATATGGTCTCCTCCGCAACTGATGCCGGTGAAGCCTCCATGCTATCCTCGCTTGGCTTGCCGTCGGCTGCAAGCCTGGGCTCCTAATGTGTTAGGGGCGCCTGAATGATTAGAACCGGGTTTTGGGTTTAGGGTTTAGGGTTTAGGGGGTTTTGGGGGGGTCGTTTATGAGTTGTTTTGGTAAAGGGAACATGAGGGAATGGTACTAGGAATTATTCCGACCCCTCTATTACACTCGGCTTCTCTGTTCTTGCCGCATTTCGGGGGTTTCGGGTTCAGGGGGGGTGCCGCTTTAAGGTTTTTCTGAAGCGAACCAGGAAGCAAGGACTTCACCACAACATTGGCGCCTTTCCATCTTCCCAAGTGCATGGTGCTCTTCAGGGTCCGGCACAGCTCCTTCTCGATTTGGATGTCGCTGTACCTATACTTTGCTTAGAACCTCAATATAAATATCTTTAATATCCTCTTGGCTTTATATGAACAACAAGCAAAAAATAATTCCCAAGGGGGATATAGGTACTGGACGCGCCAGGAGCTCGCATGCGCCTTTCGGCAGAGGTGTCGGCACCAGTCCATCGACGACGCCTGTGTGCTTAAGGAGTCGGCGGTCGGCGACCTTGGAACTGGGTTGCTCTCTAACCCCCAATAAACAAAATCTAGCTTTTTAGCTCCCTTATGGTACGAAATTAGAGGAACCCTAAACTTCTAAAGTGATAAAGTGGTAGTAAAGTCCCAGCTAGGGAAGGTTCAGATCGGGAAGGCGTTGCAAGAGTCTGCAACACCCGCCTTCGTTGTGCATCCTTCTATACTCTCTTCCTCCTCCACTGAACCACCCCCCCACCATAAAAAGTGATATGATAGAGAGGGGTCGGGTTTGATCATATCAGGGGGAGGGGATTGCAATAAACCCTGACCATCACTCCAAGCTACACGGACTGGCCCTCGGGCGCTGCTCCGGGCAGCACTGCCATGTCGCGGAGCACGTTACCAGCTCGCGAAAGGGCGCCATCTAAAACTTCGCATTTGTGAGCCTAAAAGAAGCCCACGTCGTGAACTCACCCTGACACTGAGTGATCCAGGACAAGCTTGCACAAGATCTGTACTGATGGGCAAGGCAAGGTTTCGCAAAGACAAAGCAGAACGCATACTGTCACGGCGCCAAAAACTCAAGTAACTTAGTAGCGCATGCTACCCTCATGGCATCATGAACAAGCCCCCGGTATCGACAACAGGAAGTCTCAAGAAGCCCGTTAGTCGGGTAGAAGGGTTCTAGAACTACGCCTAGACTGCTAGAGGCTCAACAACCGGCCATTGCCTCATGTTCAGAACATTCTAAGCGAGAGCCCTCGTGGGATGGGGCTACAACAGGCTACGCAACACCTTGAAACATGACCGACTTAATGAAACGCTGGGCTGGAACTACACCTCGGAACGCGCTGACGCCACGCCTTAATCTGCGTCCGAACTCTTTGTCCGCCCTTGCGATGCCATGCTGCCTTGAGCAGTGTCACTGCGTGATCTACTCGTGCACGGATGTTGCTTCCGGTGCTGTGGCTGTTTACCATCAATAGTCCGTGGTCTGGTGCAGCCACGTGCAACCCCCCGACTCATCTTGAACCTCTCTCCAGCATGAAGCTGCCTGGCTTCCTCTACATTCTCCGTATTCGAGATGCAGTTGGGCGCATGGTGGAGCAGGTCCTCATCCGGCATCCCTAGATGTCGAGTTTTGTCGGGGGGTATTTCAAACATTTGGATCTCAATGATCCTACCTCGGCTTCTGGTGCGATGCCATGGGAAGGCGTCCGATATGCCCGAAGCCGCTGCGCTTGAATGGGGCTCGGCTTGGGATGCCAGAGTTTCCGAGTGAAGGTGGCTGGTCGAGGTCTTGAACCTAAACCCTGCCTTGGGCCTGAACCTGTAGTCTGCACGCAAGCAATACATATATATATATATCTATAAATAAAGAATACATGCACGTATATAAAACTATCTGCTCAGCCCGACATGTCAACTCTCGGAAACGCCGGCTCCAACACCTGCAGGCGATGAGGCTGATGTGATGCAAAGCTGGCATACAACCTTTTTTTGCCCTTGTGCGTGTTTTTTTTTATTTGTATGTGCACATACATGTCTTTGTACATATACATATATATGTATGTACATATATATATGTATGGAGTATATAGTTGTCGTTTTTGAGAGACGCTCTCCGTCTCCATCCGTCATGAAGCCACAACGATTTTGGAGGCTTTTCCCTTTACGGGGCTCAGGCATAGACTCGGAGGGGTTCTACTTGCAGGGCTTGCTTGGGATTTGGAATGGGTTTTCTGCCGCATGGGTTTGGGGTTTGGCATGCGCTCTCTGCTAGCAGTCCACATGGATTTGGGGTGTAGATTCTAGGTTTGGAAGGAGCGCAGGATCTGCATGCGCCGCGCCTGTTTGCAACTCCTACTGGAGTAGTAGCCGATGGCATCTATGCGCCCGGAACCGCGGCAGAGTGGCTCGATCCGAAAGCCCCTAAACCCTAAAACCCTAAACCCTTATGTTTTTGGTCCCAGGGCAAACCTGGGTTCCAGGAGCAACCCCCCACAAATACCCTCCTTAAATAGTAGATTACTAGACAATTGAAGGCTTCCCAAAAAGGGTACCCCTATAATGGAAGCCCCCAAAGTGCCAGGTGTGCATGGGCGCTCTTGGATCGAGAGAAAAAAATGCGATGCCTACGACTTCACGGGAGCTTTTCGCATGCAGCTCGCTTCTAACACATAGGAGGTGTGATGTAGTCGAAAAAAGCTTCCAGGTTTCACACGTGTATGTCTACGGCATGGAGAAGTTGTAGGGTCCCGGCGGCCAAAATGTATGGGAGAGTCCACTGAATGACAGTCATCATCAAGGGCACTGCAATGTGGCGGTTTGGAGACGATGAAGGCTCTACGTGTTTTGCGTGTGGACTGCATTGAAAAGTGGCCGGACAAAACTCGGGCACGGCCCGACGTAAAATTGCACAAGGAGACCGACAGATCTCCGGTTACGGTTCAGGGGGTTACTGTAAGGTTGTTTAGTTGTGGGCTTTTGGGATTGGGCTTAGGCTTCTGGAATCAGGGTTCAGGGTCGTGTTTGAGCATGAGGCATGAGGCTCAGCGCGTGGGATCTCCAATGTCACATCTGGGAGCAGAGACAGGAGGGCTGGACCTTCCGTCGACAACCGATGGTCATGAGGGTTAAGGGTTTAGGGCTCAGGGCCCGGAGGGTCTGTTTGCAAGTGCTGTCCTGGAATTCGGCAGCCTTGAAATTAAAAACAGGTTCTGGGTACTGAGTTCGAAAAGAATGCCGCAAATGTGCCCTCTACTGTTCCGTTGTCTTAGTGGCGGGGGCTGAAAATTGCGCAGGCACATTGAGTCGTGAGGTTTCTGGTCCTGTTCCCAGATATCACTCATGTACACCTCGATGCTCGGGGACTTAAGCCCAACTAATTACTCCCCTGGGGATGCGCGCACGGCGGCCGTCAAACTTGCACGGCCCTGTGTTTTTTGGGGTGCAGATACTCTGTGGCATCCGGTCTGCAGCGACTTCGCTGAAACAGAAGCCCAAAGCCCCTAAACCTTACCCCTCCCCTCCCTCGAAAACTCCTCCCCCCCCCCCACCTTCCCCCCCTTCCCGGCGGCCTCCGACTCCAAGGCCTCCAGGCTCGCGAGCATGGAGGCGGCCCCCGGGCGCTTGGCGGCATCGGCTGCCCAAGCGGCAGCCAGGAGGCCTTGGAGCTTCCGTGGGCACTCCGCGAGCCTCAGAGGGAGGGTTCTCGTGTAGGGCATTCTCGGGAAGGCTGGGAACGAAGATATCTGGGTTTAGGATGGTTTAGGGTTTATCGGGTTATAGTGCGGAAGTGCAGCTCCTGTACATGTTTACTTGCAGCCGTAGTTGTACCACTTGTGTTCCTTGTTGCTGCTTTTGCTCGTAGTTGCAACGTGAGGGCTTGAGCATGCATTCCCATCACTTGTAAAGTCTCAAACTGTAGGCGCCTAGCCCTCTCGCAGAGAGGGTTCGAGACCTCGAAAGGGCTCCAGGTTTGGAAGGCTTGAGCACTATGGAATGGAGTTGTCCGCAAAGCGGGATGTCTGGGATGCGTCGCCGGCAGACGTAAGGTGCCCGAGCATGATGCCATCACTCCGTGGTGTGTCATGGCTTGTGTTTCCGTGGATGGGGCCGCGTGCATGACACATGGGGAAGCATGACAAGTTCTCGCCGGTTGAGAGTCCAGCCCTCACAAAACAGTGCCGACATGCATCGCGCTCTCCACACGAAGGGGCTGGACTTGCTGAAGGCCAAGGCGAGCAGAAGTCCTAGGCCCTGCAAGTTCTTTGGCATGAAAGGGGATGCCGACAAGCGTTGGAGGTGTGACTATTGGCACTGTTGGAAGGAACTTGCCAACCAGAACGAGGGCCCGAAAGTGTTGGAGCTGTGAATCTGAGCATCACGTGAAGAGGGAGCGCCCTGTAAGTCTGTAAGTGTCCCATGAGTGTCAGCATCATGATATTGTGCGGTGACCCTACTCCAGGAGGGCATGGTCTCCGTTGAGCAGTTGAGGCAGTCCACGCCCTGAAAGTTTTTTTGGGAGGAAACCGGGATGTATGAAGGGATCAAGATGTGGATTCTATTCTCGCGTTCCTGGGAGTGTTTGCCGGCCTTCCCCAAAGCCCAGTGCTGTTGGTGCTGCGGTTCGCAAAGAAGCATCACCTAAAGACTGGTCAGGCAGGAAGGTTGAACACCCCGCATCAGGTCCCGAAAGGAGCCGTCAAGGCTTTCAGACAGGTGGGAGTTGGCCCAAAACCCTAAACCCTAACCCTAAACCCTAAACTACCAGTGCCCATTGACCCCACTCCTCGGGCTACATGGCATCCTCAACAGACGCCATTCTATCCGAAGCCAGAAAATCAGGGAGGCCATACCGCCACACCGCGCGGCCGGAACTTCACAGACGCATGAGTGCAGGTGTCCACCCATCGGTGGCTCATGCTCAGGTGGGGGGGGGGGAAGGTTCACATTCCATACATTTTTGGACTTTATTTTTTGACATATTTATGAGTAGCATCCGAAACTTTAAAGCTTAATCAGGTTCCATGTGCCACTTTGTTCGCTCCCGCAAGCCCCTACGAACCGTGCTGCGGAGTATAACGACAATCTAGATACAATCTAGGAGAAACAGGTGCGGTCGATCGCCTCCCTGTGCCATTCAAGGTCTAGGGCTTCAGGTGCCAGCTTGCAACCAAAGAGGCAGAGGCCGTGGCTCTTCCCCCTTGGCAGCGACTCTGGCTTAAGCGTGGACTGACGCCTTTGAACGGGATATCTAGGTTGGCCCCTGAAAGAAGTCTCTGAAATATAGTCCTAAGTCGGATCCTCATCAACGCCACGGAATTATAAAAACATTCCGAGAACCTGCCTAGACACGCATCTAAACCATGACCCTAAGATCCAACCGAGCCTCATATCCGCACGACACGATGAAAGGAGCAAAGAAGCCCAATTCCACACTCTAAAGCGTCAGCCCTGCACGCAAATTCCACCACGTTCAGAGAGCCCGACAAACGCCACACGAATCAACATGCCTGCCTTGGCATAGAGGTCCAGAACCTTTTCCTGAGAGTCGCACGAGTGCAAAAACGCCCGTGAAGATAACCGTAGCTGAGCATCTAAAACCCTTGAAACAACATAACCAAGCCCAGTGTCCTACAGTTTTCTTTGCTGCGCAAAAAGGTTTCAGGAGGGCAGAAAAGGTTTCAGGATCGTGGGAATCCTGTTGCGTGACGCAGAGTTCTTGTTCCTGTGCAGCTTGCAAGTTCACGTGCAGCCTGCACAAGAATGTGCAGGGGAGTGCTGAAGGCTTCAAGGCAAAATGGCTTCTCACCTTTGGGTTCTAAGGGGGTTTGTGGTACCTCAAGTGTCAAAGGTTGGGTACGTACTGGCCATGCTTTGGCTGCTGGATATTGCCCTGACCTCGCTGTTAGCCGAATCCCCTGCATCTGGAGCCCGTGCATAATCTCCACGAGTTCAAGAATTGATAAGAACCGGATGATGGCGAGCAAAGCTACAGGAACAACCCTCCAGCTGTTTCTTTGTGGGTTTAGGGTTTAGGGTTTAGGGTTCTCCAAAAAGTACGGGAAAGAAAACGTGCCGGCAGGATGCAGGGTCTGTGCCAATGTGGTGGAAGGGTTGGCGGCCGGAGCTCATGAAGTAGAGGATCAGGGCAAAGGCATAGATGTCAACTTTCCTGAGTTAAACTCTAAACCTTAAACCCTAAACCCTAAATCCTAGATCTTTAACCCCGTTCAGTGTCTGTTCAGGGTTTAGGGGGGGTTGGGATACCTGCTTTTGGCTGCTGCGTGATGTGGCTGAGGATTCTGGAGGGTGTGTGACGTGTAGGTTCACGACTTGCCAGCTGAGCTTGGGGGGGGTTTTAGGCTCAGGGTTTCGGGTTTAGGATTTCGGGTTTAGGGTTTAGGGAAAAAAGGCTATGAGTTATACCGGTTACCTGGTCTTGGGGTCAACCTGAAAATTGGATTCTGTTGTGGCACCCGCATAGCTGGACGAATCGGTCAGCAGGGAATTCCCAGATCACAACGACTCACTCAAAGTGACCTCATAGCCCCAAAGATCCCCAAAGTCATTTACCTTAGGGTTCTGGTGGTCGAGGCTTCGGAGTGTTGTGACTGGGGCTGCCAAGGATGAATTGAACCACAGGAAGGGTGAAGCACACTCTTCGTGCTGGCGCGTGCTTCCCAGAGGACTTGGAGGCCCTACGTTGAACCCCAGGGCTTGTGTTTTGGAGTGCCCTGGAGATTTTGGGAGGGCTCTTGTAGCGTTTCCACCAACCGATCCAATCAGCCATTCACTCTACCCCCCCAAAAGGCTGCCTTCCTCTCAAAACCGGCTGAGTCCCAATGCCAGCCCTGACCCTTGCAACACGCGCTAAAGCCCTCATCTTTGAAAAGAGTTGTGTACTCGCCTTGGTCAAATGAAGCCCGCACTATGGGTAATTTCAAAGCAGCATGCAAAACAAAAATGGCAGCATGAACGTATATGAGCCACGCACTCAGAAGCAGCAAAGCTACTCGTTGTAGTAGTGATGTCGCGCCACCTTGGGTCGCTTCGCGTAGATGCCGCGGTGCAAAAACTTCACATCCCTAGACGCACCTCGAAACCCTACAAGCATCTGATGTCCGACCCACTGGAACCCAAGTGGCATTCTTCAAGACCCAACTTTGTGAAAGTACTCGAACGTCATGGTTGCGGCAGGGATTTATGTCTGGAGACTGGCTCCCTAGATCCTGATCCAGGCCCTGTCAAAACAACAGCACACCAGAGGCAGCACTTCGGCCGCTTGTAGGCCCCTCAGACAACCCTAAACCCTAAGCTTTACAGCAAGCCCTGTAAACCCACAATGGTTCTGAAGAGACGGTCGCCCTCGCAAGACTAAACTGCAGCCAGCTGCCTCGGGTGCCATGTACCGAAGTGAGCCGACACCGCCAGACATGGCGTATATCCCATCTCCTTCTGTGGTCCCGGTTTGGGGAGTTCAGGGGCTTAGGCTTAGCGTTGCAGTACCCATGAGCTATAGAGCTCCCGAAGATCCCCAAAGATCCCCACCTTCCTTAAGCCTCGAAAACGCTAGTTACTGGACCTGCCATTAGTGTGAGAGAGTGAGAGTGAAGCCGACCGTCAGAAGATCTTAACCGGGTCACGTGCTTGATGCGAAAGACTACGCCTGTGCGTGAGTGTTACGCTGTGAGAGCGTCGGAACACTAAGACCGAAGAAAGACGTTCTCAAGCGAGAAGCGTACTGGACCCATGCCAAAAAAACTGAAGTCTTGCTGGGCAGAGCAATCTCCTAAGCTTTCTACCACAACATCACCTCTGTTTGAGTGGTCCAACGCGGACAAAGTGCTGCCCCCCATGCAAAGCCTGTGAACCCCAAGTGCCAGGCCTTTGCCCGCAGCAAGCACACGGCTGATGCCAAGGTCGGCAATCTGCACCGCGGACCAGGGGTGCAACAGGAAGACACGAAGACGTGCTCCAAAAAACGAGAGAGGCTGCAACTCTGTAGCTGATGGATGATGGGCGCTCTGCCACCCCCCCCCCCCCCCCCCAAAAAAAAAAAAAAAAAGAAAAGGAAAGAGAAGGAACCGTTGCTCTCCCGCGCACTCTATATACCAATTGAGCTATGTGTGCAGCGCGGCCTTCAGGTCCAAGTGCTTGGTCAAGAGAAGGTTCAAAGGCTTGAGATCACCTCAGCAAGGGATGCTCCGCATAGCCGCATGACACCACTAAAGTATGGGTCCCTCTTTAAGTGGTTACTATTAATAAAATTCAGGGTACCCCAAAAGGGACCACAATTCAGAGAACTCAACACGTGGTGGTGGTTGGAATCCGAGCACCTCCTGGTTGTAGGCTCTGCCATGGCTTCCTTGAAAGCACAACGTACTAGCTTGGACCATGTCCGGAAGGAGAAAAAAAGACACAAAAGTTCGGACCTTACACCCATACGGCGTAAACCTGCGATGAATTTGTTACATCCAAAAACCACGGATCAAGCAAGTCACGATGTATAAGAGGCACTTCTCGGGTGTGCAAGAACAGCATTCCCCGGGCGACGGCGGTCGCCCACTGCAGAACCTACTGTCACTTCGAGGCTTCACTCATCATGTGCCCTCTGATGTTGCAACATGCACGCGCGTGGATATTCCACGGTTGGTTGGCCATTTTTGCAAATGGACAACTGCAAGCATGGATCCAGCTGCTCAAAAGGGGAGAACCAAGAAGTGTTGCTCAAAAGCCCTGGGTCGGCCTGCTTCAAATGAGGACGCCAAATAGCCTGGTGCGTGGCGCGCTTCGCGATGTAGAAGGCCTCAAGGTCACCTCAGCGACAGAGCGTGTCGTGAATTCAGGGATTCAGGGCTGAAGGATGGCTTTGATGTTCCTGCGGCTGTTGCAGTTGAGGTGCAGGACTTTAGAAAAAAGGCACCCTGAAACCCCATGTTTAGAACCCTTGATGTAGGGCTTCGGCCCTCCCCCCCCATTCTGCCTCCTCTCCGAGTGGCACAAGCAACAGTCGTTCTTTCTTTTTCTCTCTCTCTCTCTCTCTCTCGTGCTCGCTCGCTCCAAAAAAGAAATCACCCAGCCCCGACATCTTGCAAACGTTTTGCGCAGGCCGTGAAAGCTTGAAGCTTGCCCCTGGAAGCCCCCCCAAATCACCCCAACCCCTCAACAAGCCACAGCAAGCCCAGCAAGACACGATACCGCGGCCTAAAACCTGAAAAAACCCCAGGCCCGAATCCCTCAACATCGAGCCGAGCCGCCCCCAGGCATGTACTCTGTGATGCAAGCGATGGAGTGGGTGGCGTCGAGACAGGCGCCCACGAACCTAGATTGCTCTTGGGTGCGACTGCTGACTTCAAACTCAAAGGCGGCAAAATCATCTCTCGCAGGCTAGTGTACTCCGCCCCCTCACCATTAAACTAGTTGTCTGTACCCTGCCTGCTCGCAACCACTTTGTAGAAACGATCGGGCTCACAGGGATGCATCCTGGTTTCGGCTTCAAAGGCCAAGACGGACTCTCCAAGCAAAACGCACAAGTCGGACAAACCGCCAAGGTGGCAAAACTCTATGCGGGTTGAGTTCGATACAGGACTGCTGGTCTTTGATGCCCTACAACAAACCCCTATAAGTCCAAACTCTGGAACCCTTTAGAGATCTAGAAACCCCCATATTGTTTTCATTCCCTCTACACGGATGAACCCTTTCAACCCTCTCTCTCTCTCTCTCTCTCAGGCGCTCAGTCCCTAAACCCTAAACCCTTCTTACCCTAAACCTTAAACGCCTTTGACCCTAAACCCTATACCCTATACCCTCTTTGATATCTTAGTCCTATTCATCAGGACCAAGAGTTAAGGGTTCGCGGTTCAGGGTCGGCATTTTGTCTAGGAAGTTTGCTGGCCAAACCCTTTTTTCTAATCCCTTCCCCAGGAAAAGGCCGAGATAGCTCACACCGCAAAACGCCCTAAAGGCGCGCCAAGGAACAGGACAAGATTGGGATGGCGAATGCAGGAGAGGACGTCAATCTCATGTAAGAGCTCCTGTGCTTGACCGTAGCTGCAAAGTCATCGACGGGCCGGGGGGGGGGGGGGGGGGGGGGAGGAACTTGTGCCTTCTAATTGTTGCGTGCGCAATCTTGCTCACATGTTTACCGTGGTCAGCACTCACAGAATATCAAGGAGCACATGGCGGTGAGTCAGGCTGGAGCAGCGTCACGCCGTATCTGGTTGCCATGATACATATGCCGTGCTGCACCCTTCATCATATATCCGAAGATTTATCTGATACAATCTAGCTGAGGTCCATGGGATCGCGCAGTTGAAGCTTCTGTAGTTTGAGGGTCATTGGCTGAACTTGCGAATAAACCATAAGCAATTGACCTGAATAAAATGTTGATGTTAACTAAGCAAGTAAAGAAAAGTATAAATACAAAATACAAAATGTCTGTAAAATGTAATATCCCAGATCCCAAGTAGATAAAAAGTCTTTGGAAGCTTCGGAACATTTCAAACACTGTGTCCTCCGCAACTGATGCCGGAAGAGCTTCCAGAGAGTCCCCGCTGGCATGGCCCTCTGCCATGAGCCTGGGGTGCTCTTTCCGCTGTAGGGGCCTAGTTCAGGTAGGGTTTTGCCGGGGTCTTGCAGTATAGTTATAAAAGGGACCATAAGGGAATGCTGCTAGCAATTCTTCCGACCCGTGTATTCCACTACTTGGGTCTATTTTGCCACTTTGGGTTGTTTTTGTTTTGTGCCGGTTTCTTGAAGGGGTGGGGACTCGCAGGTCAGAATTGGGATACTGAGAGGTAGTTGTACTGGCTCGACGTATCTCAGTCTTTGGGATCTACTTAGGAACAGACCCGCCGCGCCTCTTGGGCCTAAAAGGCTCATCCTCGAAGCAAAAAAGATTTCTGAAGCGCCCCCCCAAGAAGCAAGGTCTTCACTGCAACTTCGGTGCCTTTCCAGAAGCCCAGATGCATGGTGCTCTTCAGGGTCCGGCACAGCTCCTTTTCGATCTGGATGTCCTTGTACTGGATTCGCCAAGAGCTCTTCTGCGCCTTCTGAGACAGCTGATTATTGTTATCTTATTAATATGATTATTAATTATATCCATCTTATTAGTATTATTAATATTATTAATCTTATTAATAATATTAATTTTCATGCGCCTTCTCAGATAGCTGCTGGCACCACTCCGATGATGCCTGGGTGGAGGTGTCGCTCGGCGACCTCCGGTGTGCTTGGCGCTGCTGGAGTCTCTCAAAGGTTCAGAGGTCAGGCTTCAGCGTAAGATTCCTTTTACAGAGGCCTGGATGGTAAGATTCCTAAAACCCTAAACCCTAAACCCTAAACCCTAAACCCTAAACATCCCTAAACCCCTAAACCCGAAATGCTCCTCCAAGGGACACGGCCTCACTCTTAGACACTGTTCGCGGCAGCACGACCATGTCGGAGAGCATTTCGGAGGCCGGCACAAGAGGATGGCAAGAGGAAACTAAAACTACAACTATGTAAAAGTCCCTGAAACTTGAGCCACGAAGGCCAGGACATCTCGAAGACTGAGCCCTGGGTTTCGGGCTTGGGGTTTAGGGTTTACCGCTTCAGTCATCTCAGGGGCTTCAAGAGGATACCATGGGAAAACTTGTTGAAGCCCTTTTATCGTAGGGCTTTGGGGGGTCGGCCTCTGAATTCTGGGCTCCCTGTTCTCACGCGGCCTCAGAACTTTTACACGGAGGATCGGAGGGTTTAGGGTTTAGGGTTTAGGGTTTAGGGTTTAGGCTTAGGTTTTAGGGTCAGCAAGACCCCAAGACTACGAATTTCAATCGAGCCTGTGCAGCTGGCTTTTTGCAGTCGGACCCTCTGCGCGCAATTGCTGCTATCTAGGAACCAGGGCTTGCAGACTGTGGAGTCGTGGTCTGTCATGGTGTGGAAAGTTGGCTTAGCATACATCGTAAGACACATAAGGACAGACGGTTGCGTGCAGTCTCGATCGATAGAGTGTTCAGATATCAACGACAGCAATGGCACATAGAAGCCTGAGGAATTAGAATGGGCATTGTTGGCTGGTGTGTATTTGTTTGTAAAAAGACAAAACGACGGATGAACAAACATATGTGTAAATATATGGACGTATATATATATATATATACATACCTACATAGAGTTGTTGATTTTCATCTGCTATACTATGTGCATATACCAGGAGATTGGCAGGGCATAATCCTGGATTACACCAGGTCCGCAGCACCGGTTCCAACCTAACTCCCCTTGCAGGACAAGACCACTGCACAAATCGGGCCGGAGTCACCTGCTCGAAGCAGTACTTCAGCTCTTCTGTGGCAAGGGGGTTTAGGGTCTACCTAGGGTGCTTCTATAGGGGCCGGTCGAAGGTCGCACTGCAATGGATAGTTTGGGGCCGTGGAGATTGTGTGAGCAGGAGATGGCCAAGAGGTATATAAACCTGCGTCCAGCAAACTTCTGCTGGTTCTCAGCACAAAATATATTCAGGGATCGCCCTCGTCAGGAGGATGGGGTTCTTTTGGGATCGGTAACTTGATGGCCGCTTATATTTGACCCCGGTACATCTCTCTTTTGCCATCGATGTGCTTTCTCGGCTAACATCTTCCTCAGGTTTTCTTCCAATCGCTCTATGTCGAGTACACTGCTGAGATCCAGTCTTTGCCGAAATTGGCATCGTGACAGAAAGCCGGACAGCTACACAAGAAGCTTTAAACACGCGAATGCCCTGAGGCTCCCGGCTTGTCTAAGAGTGGGAAGTATATGTCTATACACATGTACAGATGATCAAATAGCTATGATTGTAACAATAGTACATGTACCTGACCTACTTTTGTATAATGTCTGTTGGAGGTTCGCTTCATCACCGCAAGATCTTGCAGCCTCCTTTCCTGGGCCTTCCTACGCCCAGGATGGCATGGCCTGGCCGCACTCAGAGGGGGTTCAGTAAGACCCCGACTGGCTTTGCTGCAGAGTCTGCAGAGTGGGCTGTTCACAAGGGGACACTTCCCAGCCTCCTCGCACTTAAGAAAGGCCCATGACAGGCAGAACAAAACTACCCAACACGAAAGTTGGGCCGGCCCGAAGAGGGCCTGTTGTAAACACTTGAGATCCCTTGAGCTTTGAAGCGCAGGCCACTGAGCCAGGCAGTCACTTGCTGATAAAGCACAACACACCGGCGGCCATAGCAAGTAGATGTGCTACCCAACCACACCTCCCCAGACATACCCCCCCCCCAGTTCCCTCTTTGGCCTAAATTGCCCCATCACAAAATAGTCTCTCGACAAAGCTCCGGGCATCACTGTGGGTCCAGGCCGGACAACGTGAGCAAGGACGAATCTTCAACGAGGTGCCACGTTCGTCCGGAGGCCGCTGTCTCAAGAATAACCCTCAACGGCGAAATCCTGCACTAAGTTCAGCTCCTCACACCCCTATTACACCAGTCTTGATTTGCAGGAGCCACTGGCCAGGTCGCAGGCATGGAAGCTCCAAACATCCTGCACCCTGGGCTTCTCGGCTTGAGTTTGGCACCCGCCAAGTAGCCAGCTTCACTGCAGGGACGAGATCCTAATTGTAATAATGATATAATAATGATAATAATAATAGCAATCATAATAATACATACTACTACGAAGAACAACAATAGGTAATGATACTACTCATTTAAGGCGTTTAGGGGGATTGGGGGCTTTCCCGGAGGCCTAAGTAGTTTGACGAGGCCAGGATGGATGCTACTAACTGCGAGTACCGTGACTTCTACTGGCACCACGGTTTATGCTTCAGATCATGTTGGATATGGTGAAGGGTTTAGGGTTTAGGGTTTTAGGGTTTAGGGTTTAGGGGCATTGATCTACATTCCTGAGACCAGCCTCGCGAGACACTTCAGCATCTGCGACATGTCCGCCACAAAGCCCCCATGAAGCGGTCTCAACATCCCCTGGGCCCTTCACCCACAAGTGGAAGTTGTCTACTGACTCTCTGGGCACAGCCATGGGCCGACTCGTCTTCTGGCTGACCCATCTGCTGCGTCCTATTGGGCCGCTCCACTGAGGGCATTCGAGATAGTTGTGGCAGTCGGAAGGGTCGCCCTTCCCTCGGAACATGCCAAGAATATGTTCTCATGCTCCTTAGGATACATGTATACATATAAAAAGACAAATAAATACACATAGATATATGAACAAACAAGATAAATATGCATAAACAAATAAATAATAAATAAATAAATAAAAAATATATATATATATACTTTTAGAGAATTTTCCAAGAAACCCTGTAAGTCAACATGTCATCACCCATTCAAAAGTCCGCAAGTGGTTCCAAGCAGACCTGTCACATCGGTCCCAAGACTTCGCAACTCAGGGTGCTTAGGGCTTTTCCGGCAACTTCGGGTTTTCGGATAACTGGTAGGTTCTTTTCGGGTTTAGGGCTTATAGAGCCTCGGCTCAGAGGCAGTCAGTGCGGATCTCGTCGTCCTGCAAGCTCAGCACATGAACACGCCCTTTTGAAGTCCTCAATCAAGCGATGTCAGCTCCCTGAAGCCCTATGCGGAACCTACGCGCGCTCTGGTTTAGGGTTTAGGGTTTAGGATTTAGGGTTTAGGTGGTATACTGAGCACCTGATCTCATTTGGCCAGCAGCTGTTGTCCGTTTGGAGGCCTCCACAGCTGATACACATGATGTTTAGAGTTTTTCGCCGGCGCAGTGTTCAAAGGCTTTTGTTTTTCAACAAAGCCATTCGTCCCCAAGGGCTTAAGGCCCAAGTACAAACGACTTTGGACCCTATTTTATTTGTACAATTGCATTCATATCTTCATATAGTACCATCTTGCTAGATTGCTTTATGATATTATGACGTTCTTATATTGGTGTCCACGACACTTTTTCTTCATTGAATTCTTGGACCCTTCAGACCCTCATGGCAAGCTTTCAACCTGCGCTCGGAGCCGAAGGTGTTGAGAGCCCAGCGAGCCCCTGAGAGCTGAACCCTTCTCTTTGGTTTAGGGTTTAGGGTTTAGGGTTTAGGGTTTAGGGTTTAGGGTATAGGGTTTAGGGGTTTAGGGTTTAGGGTTTAGGGTTTAGGGTTTAGGG